GAAAAAGCGATTTGGTGTGTGTGGGGGATCCAGCAGTGGTGTTGATGTATATGACCCGTCCACCTGCACACACTGATCCTCTGAGCTTCTGATGGCCCAAATGCAAGATGTGAGGTCATCAGTCATCACAAACTGTCCAGTGCTGACAGACCCTACAGTTCAGTTTGAGAGACCATCTGTTTTGATGTTGATTTGCTGTTACTTATTGTCCACTTCTTTTTGTTTTTGTATTAACTTTTTATTGTTTTAACTTTTATTGTATTATTATTTTTTTTTACATTTTATATTTTATTTATTTTATTTTAACTGAATATTTTTTGTTTTGTTTTATTTGTTTTATTTATTTTTTGTATAGTATTACATTTTTAAATGTTATTATTTTGTTTTATTTATTTTTTATTTATTAATTTATTTTATTTTAGTTTTACTAAATATTTTATTTCACTTCTACTGAAAAAATGCTTTATATTTTTATATGTTTTATTAATTAATATTTTTTTCATTCATGGGCTGTGTGTTTGCATTTGCGTGATTTACTTCACAGATCGACAAACTCCTACGGGCCTCTCTGTAAACTGCACTGTGTGGGCAGCCTTTTCCATTGTAGTCAAAGTGTAGAGATTGTGTGCGTGTGTGCGTGTGTGCGTGTGTGTGTGTGTGCGTGCGTGCGTGCGTGCGTGTGTGTGCGCGCATATCAGTTTTTATTTTATTTTTTTCCTTGTGTGTGTGGGGGTCTTATGGAGGAGGGTCTGGCAACTCCAGAAGAGGACTTTAAAAACTAGACCGTTTTTTTTTTGGGTACATAGAGTGTGGACAAAAGTACATGTCTATGTTTATTTTTTTCTTTATGTCTCCTAAATACTACTACTACTACTACTATTAATAATAATAATAATAATAATAATAGTAGTAATAATACTTTTATGAATTTTATTCTGCTCTTTTTGTACTAACTTCTTATTGCACTAACTTCTCCATTAATTATAAAGTATGCATCATATTAATACTCTATATGAAAATGTTACAGTTAGTGTATTATACATGTATAATGTATTGTTATATACTTTTAGGATGTTTTAAATGATTTAAGTTTGTATATTTACATATTTTTGTTCTATTTTCATCTTGGTATTTTATTTTTAGTTTGTTTATTCGTCATCATCATCATCCTCATTATTATTATTATTATTGTTTATTATTATTATTATTATTATTATTATTATTATTATTAATAATTATTATTGTTATTATTATTATTAATATTATTAATAGTAGTATTATTAGTATTATTTGTTGTTGTTATTACTATTATTATTATTGTATTATTTTTATTATTAGTATTATTAATTATTAATAATTAATAATAATTATTATTATTAGTTTTTTATTATGTATTTATTTAATTAAAGTTTTTTTTCCATATATTTAATTCATTCATTAATTCATTAATTTATACATTCATCCAAATCTGGACTGTGTAACATATTTTGTCATATTTTTTTCTTCACGCCTGAAACAGAAACATGTGTTTAAAAGCCTTGTGATCATAACTGATGGTCGGGTCAAGAATGCTGTTTATTTATCTATATTTCCTTTACAAGCAGGTGGTTTCGTTTAACTTTGTGGACTGGTAGGTTTACTACTCATCTTTCAGCCTATTGGTTGCCCTTGCTCTAGTCTCTTTACGTGGAACTGTTTGTTTGCTCAACATGATTGTCATTGTTTAAAAGTTTCACTGGAGGTTGAGCTGATTGTTTACTGAGGAGATTGTGACACCACAGCTTTATTGTCTCTTTGAATCTCGCACTTCTGACTTGTGTAATCCTTCAGGAATTCGGTTCATGCCAAAAATGTAGCGTTGAGTTTTTGAAGGACTGGATTTTCAGGTCCTGACAGACTCGTGAAAAGTGCTGAGGTAAAAAAAATAAAAAATTACATGAGAGGTGCTGTCAGGTTTCAGTCGTAGTTTAGATAGTGATGTAATACACATACACACACACACACACACTGCACTGAGTCAATGATTCAGAGTTTCCTACATGGGCTTAGGCTGGAAATGCAAACTGAGGAATAATTTGACTGAGAAGCAGCATAGACAGCAGCTATAGTTTTTCTTAAGAGGAAATGTTTGACTGACTTGAGCCAAGAAATTGAATTTCTGAAGTGATTGAATGATAGTAATAATCAAATGAAGTGAAATTACAGTGATAAACAATAATTATAGTAATTATTAATTATCTGTTGACATAAACACAAGACCAAAATGCGTTTTATAATATGTATACGTTACAATAAGTGTTTAATAAAGTAAAAATAATATAGCATTATCAATTATAGACGTTCTAATATATAAAAATAAATGTTGCAATTGGTTGATTTTGTAGTTATACGATAAAATATAGTGAAATCTAATCTAAAATGTTAAATTAAGTAATTTGGAAAGATGGAAAGAGGTTTGTTATATTATTTTAGAAGTAATTTAATGTAGTTCTTATTATATTTTCATATATTATTGCAATATATATTAGTAGAATTATATATAATATAATGATTTATTGTTCTATTACATTAAAATAAGCATTAAATGTGTTGATTTTGTAATTGATAGTTTTTTGTAGTTGATTTTATAACAAATAATAAAAAAAATTAGGAGCAGTTTAATATAATTGATTTTATTTATTTATTATTACTGTTGTTGCAATATGCTATATATACTATAGATATATAAATAATTATAGAAAGTATAATTATCTTATTGTTATATTAATTTATTGTACTTATTTTATGTTACTATATAATAGTAACTTATACTACATATAGGAACTTATATTTATTATTATTATTATTTATTATTTACTAAATAAAAATACACACATGCTTATCAGCTTTAATCAATTATTATTATTATTATTTTTTTTTATTTATTTAATTTTATTATTAATTAATTAAATTATTTATTTATTTATTTATTTATTTATTTATTTATTTATTTATTTATTTATTTATTTATTTATTTATTGCTTTTATCAATTTATTTTTTGGAAGATGTTGTGTTTGGAGATTGTGTTTACTGTTAGTCCCCGAGTCATGGTAACATTTATTAGGTGAGTCTGGAGTGCTTTTATCAGGGTTGAGACCTTCAAATCTAATCTAATAAAAAATAAAGCTCTTTTGTTTAAAAACTGAGCACTGACCAATGAAATGTTTTCCATGTGCTCTTCATACTTTCTCAGTGCTTTTGAGGACACTAAATGTGCCTGATTGTAAAGTTTTCAGTCACGCTTTTTCCAAATTTCCACACTTCCACCATCCATGCTGATAAACTTGGATTTGCTTATTTATTTAACCCAAAGGCCATCCTTCAAAATGCTAAAACACAAGAGGTCAGATAAGATGATTTGCATGCGTGTTTATACCACAAGCGCACAGGATATGAATATTTTTTCTCTTTAGAGACTCCCTCAGCACATTTCTGAACTCCCATCAGCCCTCATTACGATGGAAATCATCTGTAACACAGTTTCCACAGTTCACTATGATAATACCACATGCAGCATGCCTGAGAATATGAAGATTAGTTTAATGATGTCATGATGACACCATTCCCTGGATGCATATTGCATATTGCTCGTTATTAGTTTATGTTAGTAAATTACATTAAAGCATATACATATTTTTGCTTTAAAATGTTAGGCATTAAAATATGAGGCATTTTTGCACAGTTTGCACACATTTCTAGCATAAAAATTCTCTGGATGAAGTTGGGTTCAAAATTTGTGTGTTTTTTATGTCTCAGAGGCAAAGCAGATCTGTTTATAATCGTTTTATAATTCTTAAAGGGCACTTATTTTACCCCTTTTTACAAGACAAGCCTTTGGTGTCTCCAGAATGTGTCTGTAAAGTTTCAGTCCAAAATACCCATCAGATAATTTATTATGGCCTCCAGAATCTGCTCATTTTGGTGTCTGAGTACATTGTACCTGTTTTTGTAGCCCGTGGCTTTAAATACAAATTTAGCTGCTTCTCCCCGCCAACGGTTCCCACGTGCGTGTCTGCTTCTCCTGTTATGTCAGATAAACAGCAGCCAGTGATAGAGACAGACACATATGAAGCTGAAATACAGCTTATTAGTTAAAAAAAACAAAAAAAAGTAAGTTTATTTGATGTATTTGTGGCGGAGTCTATTCAAGCCTTTCTGAAATGATGAGTCACACACGAATGCCGTTTGCAGTACACTAACGCATATACTGTATATGCGTGTTTTTCTGACACCATGCAGCCATGGTTATTGTAGTGGTTAAGAATTAGATAGCAATTTTAAACATGCTTTGTTTTAAAAACTTTTTAAACTTATTAAACTGATAAAAATCACAGAGTTATAACAAATATTTTAATCCCAGTTTATTTGCAAAAAAACTTGCATGTTATGATTGAAACATGGTGCCTGTCAATCAATTTGGTGGGCGGGGAAAAGTCCACTCCATGTCACGTTGCAGTAGGCCTCAAAATCAATGGGATTTGGGTCCTATTTTAACTTCAGGAGATATGTTGGGTTTATATCACTCCAATATGACTGTCGACACACTATACCTACACACAGTACTGTCCAAACAGTTTATAAAAGTCATTATAAGTTCCCTTTAAATTACTGTAAACACCCAGGGACAAAATAAATGTTGTTTGTAGAATAAAGTAATCAGTTATATTATGTAATTTTTCATTTATTTATTTATTTTGAGAAAAGGGACTTTAATATGTTTTTTAACAAAAAAATTCTTAACTGCGACACAAGAAATGCTTTATGTATATTTTAAAATGTTTTCTTTCCATTAGCGAGAAAACACACACACACACACACACACACAAAACCGCCGATAAATCAAAAAATCTTATTTTTTTCTGCAGCGTTTTAAAATAAGATGAAATAAACTTGTATAACTAAATTTACAAGAGTTTGGATTTTTTATAATCTTTTTCCCTTTGTGAATGTTCATTTTTAGATCCTCATACTCACAGAAGATACAACAGTGACTACAGCTCGTCCAGTGAAAGCCCTTCGGTGACATCATCAGACCCCGACTACAGACAAGGTGACATTATATGTAAAATAGAGACAGTTGAATCAGATGACAAATCTCAGTCACAGCATTATATTTTTTTACAATCTATTTGTCTTTATATAAAACTGATCTATAATAATTAAACATTTTTATCTTATTAGTCTCTGCAGGGTGTATGAAATATTTTTTGGTCATATTTTGCTCAAGCAACATCTTGTTATGCTATTTATATATTATTTATTTATAGATGTTGATTCTGTGAGAGTCTATGTCCCTTCTGCAACATCTGATTAATTAATAATGATAAGATACTTTAGAAATGATATATACTTTAGCATTTTAGATTTGAAAAAGATAAGTATTAAAAAACTGTAAAATAATATATAATAAAATTAATTAAATGTAATATAAATTATATAAATAATAATTTTATCTATTTATTTATTTACTATATATTTATCTATAATTTTTTACATTTCTTGAATGAAAAAAGAAAAGTATTATACATCTAAATGTAATATAATATATAATAAAATTAATTTTATATTATTTAAATTATATAAATGCATTTTTTATTCAGGTATTTATATTGATTTTTTTTATTTATTTACTATATATTTATCTAAAATTTAACATTTTAGAAAAAAAATATTATAAATCTTAATGTAATATGATATATAATAAAATTAATTTATATTTTATAAAAATATAAATAATGATTTTATTTATTTCTATATAGACTATTTTATATATTTAATTATTTGTCAATAATTTTAGCATTTTAGAAATGAAAAGAAAATTATTATATATCTTAAATGAATAAAATATTTAATAAACTTTAATATATATTTAAGTCCTAATATAATATAAAATATTTTTTTAATAATTTAATTTAAATAAAATAAAACAACAAATACCAAAAAAAGTCAAATGTAATTTAAAATAATACTAAAATGACATTAATTTCCATTAAGGCCAATGTAATTCATAATTATTGAGTTACTTTGATTAATGAGAACATTTATGAATGCAATCAGAGTTTTCACATCTTATAATTCTGTGGCACTTTAGATTATATACAGGTTAAAAGAAATGTGTTGATTTGGATATTAGTGCACCATGCAAAGCTTATGCTTGACCTGCATTAATTTCACCTCTTACTTTCATCCACAAACAGCCAAGAAGTCTGAAGATTTGAGGCGTTTTAGCTCTCAGGTGGGCCTGTCGGATCATGATGGTGTTTCACTCAGCGGTTCACAGAGACACAGGTATTCCCTCTTTCTTCTCTGTGTTGATCAGTCAAGCATGTCCTCTCTTTACTGACCTCTTCAGTTTTGGACCCCAGCCTGAGTTAATGATAATCTAAACCCTTCCGGAGTTCATTTCCTCTCTTCTTTGCTGAAGTTTAGTTCTGGTTACAAAAACTATACCTTCTGTGCATGTCTCTGTGTGTTTGTGTGTTTGTGTGTTTGTGTGTGTGTGTGTTTGTTTGTTTGTTTGTTTGTTTGTGTGTGTGTGTGTGTGTGTGTGTGTGTGTGTGTGTGTGTGTGTGTGTGTGTGTGTGTGTGTGTGTGTGTGTGTGTGTGAGAGAGAGTGTTAGAGTGTGTGTGTGTTAGAGTGGGTGTGTGGTTTTTCTTGTATTTTGGGGACAAAAATTATTCTTAGAATGATCTATAAATTGTGAAATCTCCCTATTGGGATGTCCTTAAAGGTAAAAGTGATGTAAATATTTTTGCCTCCCACAAGTACGAGTAAGGTTTGGATTACTGTGTGGTTTAATCTGCTGTCAGTGTCAGTCAAAGCTTCAGTAAACTTCTGAAGTAAACATTACTTCTTTTTGTCATTTTCTTTTTTACATTTATTAGTTTGTAAACCCACAATACTAATGTTTTACCTTCACAAGAATCAAGAAGTCAATATTTGGTGGAATGACCCTGATTTTCAATAACAACAAATGAATATATTGATTATTCTCATTCTCATATTGTTTTCTGAAATAATAATAAGCTCTAAAAAATGTATTGAATGTTATCAGAGCTTTATATAATAAAAGTAATATTTAACATTGCACTCAAACTTTCAAGTAAATTAACTAAATTGAAAAATTTAGTAAAGTGTATTCTAAATTATATTCGGTCTAATCTAAGGAAAAACGTACACTGCCTTATTTAAATGTTCTGCAATGTATATTGTGATTTTTCTCAAGATAACTTAACCCTTTAACCACCAAGAAAAAAAAAATGATTGCATTTCTTAATAAATGTTGTTAGTTACACACTCAATGCATTTTTTTTCAACACATCCCATACTTTCTAAAATATCAACCTCTACCATATGATTGATATCTTGGTATTTTTGGTAAAAGAACCAGAATTAATGCATATACTATGAACAATTTGAAAATATAAAGACGTGAAGTATGTCATAAAATATTTCAGATTCTCATTTAACATGGTTTCTTTTTCAGGTTTCTTTTTCAGATTTTTTTTTCAGGTTGTAGAAAGTATAATGCTTATAAGTGTATAGAAAGTGTTTTAAATATGATTCCTGGTAGTTAAGGCATGGACATTAAAATCTGTGTTTTGCATTCTAATATCCTACAGTTTTCCATTGTTTTCTGCCTATTGGTGGATTTTATCCTGATCATTAATCCCCCAAAGTCTGTATATATTGTAAATATTACCATAGGAATGAGTCAGTGATTCTACTGCTCCCCCTGCTGGTTAACCAGATGAACTACTCTCCTCTGTGATGCTGCGTGGCAACCTTTGCCAGGTGCTACTCTTGGGTAGAGCAAGTTTTGGGGCAGAGTTCAGTAAATGATTCCCTTAAGGGTGCCCGAGGCCCTGAGCCACGCCATACGTCACCCATGGCAACCAGATGGCTCTTCTATTGGTTGGCTTACCTCCAGTGTGCTGACATAATACGTAATGCTTCACAATTATTCTCTAAACTGTGTTAGCTGTCTAATACATCATATTATTCTCAATTTTGAGAGATTTATTTTTACAGTAGGTTTGGATATTGAATTGATGCAGATTTTTTTTTTCATTACAAAAACGCTATTGATTCTAACAAAATGAAATAAGATGTAATGGAAGTAAGCAGTTTTACATAATTGATAAATACGAGTTATGAATATGTTTCATAATTTAATGCTTGATTTGTGATTTGAATAAGAATAATAAAAGTAATTCCAGATAATAAAAAAATTGAACAGAATATGACAATCCAAATCAACAAATTCAGACTAAATAGGGTTTGTGGATTTAGTTCACATTGAAATCCGTTTATGAATCTTGCACTGTGAATAATACACATATAATGTTATCTAGTTGAATGTATTTGAATTGAATGTATTTAAAGTGATTTCAGTTTAGATTGAAGTCACTTCATGAGTTTTACACTGAATAATCTAAAGATAATGTGATTCAGATCACATGAATTAAGATTGAATGTAAAGTTTAATCTGAGTTTAGTCCACTGAATTATCTTTATAAACTTTACAGCGAATAGTTACAACATAATGTAATCTATTCTGAATTCATATTGAGCATGCTTTAAGTGAATTCAGTTCAGACTGAATGCATTTTACATTGCCAGTATTCCAAACCTAATGTAATCCAGTACATGTACTGAATGTGTGCTGAATTCAGTGTTCATATACATGTATACATTTTTTTTTTTTTTTATGGATAATAAATAAATGTCAACTAAATTTAGACTGAATCCTGTATATGTCAAAATTCTCTAAATAGACTGTACCATTCAGTTTTTTTCCTTTGTTTTTATGTGTTTAGACTCTTTGAAGGAGGTCAGGATGAGCTGTCGGGCACAGAACTTCTGATCCAGCGCCAGGAAGAGTTGCACAGGCTCCAGGCCCGGATGTCCAGAGCCTCCGTCTATCCCGGCGAAGACCTGGCAGAACCCCTTCACAGCAGTCCCGTGGAAGCAGGCCTTCATCCACGCAAATCTAAAGTAACGCATTACAGCTGAATTATGTAAATAATATAAAAGTTACGGTGTTAAGCATGGTCTGTATTCAGATTGAATTCACTTCATGCATTTTACATTTTGAATAATCCAAAATGCATTCAGATTGACAACTTTTCTCAATGTATTATAGAAGTCATAGCGTTGATCGCTGAACTGAATTCAGATTATATTCACTTTATAAATTATACAATGTGAATAATTCAAAGATAATGTAACAAATTAATCTGAATTTGGATTTAGTTGACTTGGCATCATTCACACTATATATTTCAGGATGTTTTACACAAGTTACACATTTGATAGCATAATTTACAATAAATTCAGTTCATGCATTTTACATTGTGAATTATCCAAAATGCATTCAGATTGAATCTAGTTTCACTATATTGTTTCTTGATCCATTATACAAATCCTAGCGTTAATAGCTGAACTGGATTCAGATTAAATTCACTATGAATTATACAATGTGAACAATCCAAAAGTGATGTAATGCAGTTGATCTGAATTTGGATTGACTCTCCTTTAGCTTTGCATCATTCACACTAAAACTTTTCATGATGTTTTATACAAGTTACACATTTGATAGCAGGATTTAGATTCAGTTCAGCTGCAGTTTACATTGTGAATAATCCAGAATATATTTAGATTGAATTTAGTTTCACTATAACTTTTCTTGATGCATTTTTATAAATAACAGCATTGATAGCTGAACTAAATTCAGATTAAATTCACTTTATGAATTATTTATTGTGAATAATCAAAATGTAACTTAACACAGTTAATCTAAATTCGGATTCACTCTACTTTAGCTTTACATTATTCTCATTATAAATATTCATGATGCATTTTACAAGTTACACATTTGATAACAGAACTTACTTTAAATTTATTTGCATTTTACATTGCAAATGATCCAAATCTGATGTAATAACCCAGTTCATCAGAGTTTGGATTGACTTTTCTTTGCGTCATTCAGACTCGAATATAACGAAGTATTTATGTTCTGAACATGTTCACTCATGTTACAAATCACAGTAATCAAGTTTGAATTGTTTTGATGTGAAGCTGAAGGAATCTGAATCATGAAGTCAACTGAATCATGATTTAATTTAGACTGAATTTGATTTATACATGTTACGGTGTATATATTTTACTGTACATGTTACCTACGCAGGATCAAGTAATCCAGTTAAACTGATTTTAGATTGGATAGGCTTGAAGTGAATCCTTTTCAGACTTCATCCAGACTAACAGAATCCAGTTTATCTGAGTTCACATTGAGTTCACTTTAGCTGCGCATCATTCCAACTATACCTACTCATACTCGTATTCAAACGCAAGGTACATAAGATGGAGAAATCAATATTAATTATGGTGACCTTGAATTCAGTGTAAGCAAGTTTTATTGTGAGTGATGAAAAGATAAAGTAATTGAAGTGGAATTCAAATGATACTTTATATAGCAAAGGTTGTTCAATTTGAAAACAGTATAACAAAACCATGCTCTGCTTACAGTAATGTTGAACGTTTTTATAAATTAATTTATTCATTTGTTAATTAATTTAATCATATCATTTATACATTCTTGTAGAATTTGTTTGGCCCTGAGTTTGTGAGGATGAGCAGCGAGCCAACTGTGGTATTAACCGTGCCTTCATCAATAATGGTAAGACAGCTACATGGCTTTGCTTTATACTGTTACATATTAGTGTATATACAGTATGCATGGACTTTTCTGCATGTTTTGACAGAACAAGCGTGGGAAGGTGGAGGAGAGTCAGAGGAAGGTTGGGGTGGTCTTACTGAATGGTCAGAAGCTGGAGCTGTGCTGTGATGTGAAGGCGGTCTGCAAGGATGTCTTGGACATGGTCGTAGCTCATATTGGATTAGTGGAACACCATCTCTTCAGCCTCGCCTATCTTAAAGGTGCATTAAACATCTTCCTTTAACATAACGTGAAAGAAAAAAAAACATAAACAAAATTTGAGCAATTCATCTGGACAATCTGTTGTTGGCAGCTAAAAAAAAACTCATGAAATGTGCTTATATTGCTCTTTCACTCCTCTTAGTATAACCTCAAATAGGACTAAGCTGTAACCTTGAAAAATATAACAGATCAGAACAGATGTATCACAATATAAAACAATTTCTTTAAATTAAATATTTAAAAAAAAAAAAAAAAAAAAAAAAATATATATATATATATATATATATATATATATATTTATTTATTTTTTTATTTATTTTTTTATTTATTTTTTTTTTAAAGAATTTTAAAGCATATACCAGAAATCTACTCACTCATATGTGATCATGTTTCTCAATTTACCTAGCATTTCAGGGCAAACGTTTGATTAAAAATGTAGAAATATTAATATAATATAAAACACTTAAAAAAAAAATAAATGATTACAGGTCCAACATAAAAATAACACATTTTAAATATCACTAAATAAAATGCAAAATGCAAACGTTGTGCTTTCAAGATGACAATTTTCTCATGATGCTGTAATATTGTGCTTATATGAAAAAGTATTGCCGTAAACAATGTATTTTGTTGCACCATGAAATAAACAATAGAACATAATATGTATAGACTTTTTATTTTGTCCATACTATATATATATATATAGTCATATTGCACAGCCATAATTGTTAGAGAATTCAAATTAAAATGAGGAACCTTTACGAAAACATCAGGGCCATTTAAATGCACATCTGAACCATATCCAATTCCATTCCTATACTGCCTCCTTTCATTTTTCGTGTGCCGTTCAATCTGATAAAAAAAACAACTAAATATCTTTGTAAGAGAGGTTGTTTCCTACACTATTTTGTTCATTCATCATTCATTTTTAACCGCTTTTCCGGGGCCGGGTTGCAGAGGCAGCAGTCTTAGGAGAGAATCCCAGACTTCCCTCTCCCCAGACACTTCCTCCAGCTCCTCTGTGGGATCCCGAAGCGTATCCAGGCCAGCCAAGAGACATAGTCCCTCCAGTGCATCCTGGGTCTTCCCCAAGGTCTCCTCCTGGTGGGACAAGCCTGGAACACCTCCCTAGGTAGGCTTCCAGGAGGCATCCGAAACAGATGCCTGAGCCACCTCAGCTGACTTCACTCAATGTGGAGGAGCAGCGGCTCTACTCTGAGCTCCTCCCCGGTGACAGAGCTCCTCACCCTGTCTATAAAGGTGCACCCTGCCACCCTGTGAAGGAAACTCATTTCGGCCACTTGTATCTGAGATCTTGTCCTTTTAGTCATGACCCAAAGCTCATGACTGTAGGTGAGATTAGGAACATAGATTGACCGGTAAATTGAGAGCTTAGCCTTTCGGCTCAGCTCCTTCTTTACCACAACGAACCGGTACATTGACTGCATTAATGCTGCCGCTGCACCATTCCACCTGTCAATCTCACGTTCCATCCTTCCCTCACTCATGAACAAAACCCCAAGGTACTTGAACTCCTTCACCTGGGGTAAGGACTTTACTCCAACCTGGAGATGGCAAACCACCTTTTTCCAGTGGAGTACCATGGCCTTGGAGGTGTGGATTCTCATCCCAGCCGCCCCTGAGACGCCCCTTAACAGCACCTCTGACCCCATACTCCCACAGCAGCCTCCACAGAATGCCACGAGGGACCTGGTCGAATGCCTTCTCCAAGTCAACAAAACACATGTGGACTGGTTGGGCATATTCCCATAAACCCTCGAGCACCCTGGTGAGGGTATAGAGCAGGTCCAGTGTACCTAGGCCTGGACCAAACAGCATTGTTCCTCCTGAATCCTTGGTTCAATGGTTGAACCTAGAACACTATTTTGTGTCTTTCTTAATTTTATTATTATTATTTTATTATTATTTTAATTTTTTCATTGTTTGTTAAGACTAAATGAAAGCGGCATGCTGCATTGATTTATTTCTCATCAAACCTCCTTCAGTTAATTTCCTCTTTTTCAAATAATATTTAGGAAATGACCTGTTCGTGTACACTCTGAAATTTGATTAGGAAGTATTTAAATATGACAGAATAAATTATTTTGTTGTACTTCATGACTAATGAACATGGCTGCCTTGTCTCCACAGAACATCCATTAAATCCTCCGACTCATTTTTAAAAATGCAAATCAAACCTTGTTATGATTTATCATAACTTGTTATGCTGCATGCAACTCCTTTAGAGTGATCTGTTTATTTTTTATTTTTTCTCCTTTTTCTAGATGACGAGTTCTACTTTGTTGAATCTGATGCCAAACTTTCAAAAGTAGCACCTGACGGTTGGAAGGACGACCCTAAGAAAAAGAAAACGGATGTCATTTTTAATCTCTTTCTGCGGATCAAGTTCTTTCAGGACGACGTCAGTTTGATACAGTAAGAGCTGTCTGGAGGTTTCAAAATAATGCAATAAAACAATACATTTCAGTCGTTATTGTTGAAAGAATTTCACCACGGTTGTATTCATTGTTTGTTGTTACAGTTGTAAGTACATTATATTATATTATATTATATTATATTATATTATATATATATATATATATATATATATATATATATATATATATATATATATATATATATATATATATATATATATATATATATTTTATTATTTAATATTTTATTATATTATATTTTTATTAAATTACATTATATTATATGATATTATATTTTTATTATATTTTATTATATTATATTTTATTATTTTATATTTTATTATAATACATTATATTATATTTTTATTATATTATATTATATTTTTATTATATTATGCATTTAAACTGGGATTTATTAATGCAATGTAATGCTGAAAGTAATTGTGTCAAATGGGCAATCCGAAATTATACCTATGTGAATTTATTTGCATGCAAATGGTTGAATCTATGCACCAATAAATGTGTTTTCTAGTAATTCAAATGAATATTGTTTTCTTTTAGACACACGATGACCAAACACCAGTACTACTTGCAGCTGCGGAAGGATATTCTAGAGGAGCGGGTTCGCTGTGACCTTGAAAATGCCATGATTTTGGCATCTTTGGCTCTGCAGGCCGAGTTTGGGGACTATCAGACTGAGGTACAAATGACATTGAAATATTGTGCCGTTTTCTTTGATTGTTTTTGCTTTTTAGTTTCTTTTAGTATTGTTTGTTTTATTTTTTTTTTTGTTTATTTTCATTTTTGTTTAGTTTTTTCGTGTTTTAGTTAGTTTTAGTTTTAGTTTTGTTTGTTTTTGTTTTTAGTTTATTTTAATTTGTGTGTTTTTGCTTTTTCGTTTCTTTTACTTTTTTTTTGTATTGTCCTTTTATTTTAATATGTTCAATGTGTGTTTACCGTGTAATTTTCTGATTTTGTTTTTGAAATATCATTGTGACAGTAAAAAACGCCTTACATTATGCATTATTTATTTTTATTTGTATTCAATTTCAGTTTGTAATGTACATTTTTAGTAGCATAAGTTTGTATTAAATATTTTATTTATTTTATTTTATTTACTTATTATTTTTCTTATTTATTTAAAATGTATTTATTTAATTTTAAATGTAAGTTTTTTTATTAACTTTTTTTAACAAATCTGGACTATGAGGAAGAGCTTTTCACTAAGATTATTAGAGTCAATCTTGACCATCTTACCTCAGTACATGTTTTCTCCATATTCCATCAGCTTCATGGAAAGACATATTTCCGGACAGAACACTACCTCCCTGCTCCAGTTCTAGACAAGATCGATCAGACCACCATTAAAGAAGAGCTACCCAAACTCCACAGCTCATACTACAACGCTTCAGAGCAGGAGGCCGAGCTGGAGTTCCTCAAGGTCAGGACTTAAACCAAACACATCAGTCCCATCACTAAATTCCTGATTGGCCAAAATTACAAAATTGACTCAAATAAAAGTAGATTGCTGCAGTCTGCTTCCCCTCAGATTCTCTTGATTAAAGCTTTTCAGATCTGAGCAGTTGCAAGATCTCCTCTACGTTAGATTTCAACTCAGCAGTTCGTCTTTGCAACTTCTCATGAAAAACATTTCCACAAGTCAAAGCTGAGCTGCTATATATCTCACTGCATACATTATAGTGTGTAACCAAACCTCATTTTTAAATAATCCAGCAAGTCATTCATAGTGCGTCACTAACTTAATTCATGACTGAATGAGTCTATTTGAATGAATACAAATAAACGATTCAGTGACAAAGACTTGGCGCCTCCCACTGGCAGTTTTTGTTTTTATTTAATGTATTGTTTAAAAGTTTTCATTCATTCATTCATTTTCCTTCGCCTTAGTCCCTAGTCTCTTTATTCATCAAGGGTCACCGCGGCGGAATGAACCGCCAACTTGTTCAGCATATGTTTTACACAGCAGATGCCCTTCCAGCTGCTACCCAGTACTGGGAAACATCCATACACACTCATCCACACTCATACATTATGGCCAATTAAGTTTATACAATTGATGTATAGTGCATGTCTTTGGGGGAAACTGGAGCACCCGGAGGAAACCAACACAAACACAGCAGAACATGCAAACTCCACACAGAAACGCCAGTGCTAACCACTGAGCCACCATGTCACCCCATTTAAATGGTTTACACAATGTAATATATTCTACATTTTGGATTTAAATAAATATAAATTTAATATAAAATACATACAGATTTACATATTTAGAATAAATAAATGACATTTAAGACAGTTTTTCTTAGAATACATTACTTTGAGTACTATCACAAATAGAGTTGAGTTGACATTATTAGTACCCGTAGGTAGATTCTTTTTGTTTGGCATAAGCCCCGTCCTCCTTAGTTACTGTTGCTACGCCTGTCAAGCTTTCGTGCCTGGCAGCCTTTTATATGTGTGTGTGCGCCGTTGTCAGACATTGCCAGGGATATAATGTCATTTTTGGCGAACAGGTGAGATATCCGAGAAAGCCAGACAAAAAAGAACTGCAGTATGCATTAAAGGGGTATATTCACGACATAATAGGCAGCTGATTAGAGAATAATTCAATCAAAATTGAAGCTAGCTTAGCCTAGCTGTCTCATATACTGACCATTCAACAGATTAGCTCATGCTCAGCATGAGAGGTGAAATTTAAAAATAATCTAATAATAACAAATTAAACCGTGATTTCTCTATTTTTAGCCAAAAAGCCTGATAGATTAAGTGTTGTGGAAACGAGGAAACACGCATGGACAGTGCTTCTACATAGTTCATCCATAGAAAGAGCAGTCAGAAAGGGGAAATCGGTGGATTTGTGCTGAATATTAGCATCATTGACCCATAAAAATGTACAGTAAGTTACCTATTACTGTCACTATGTTTGTGTACTCTTTATAAATGACTGGAAAACAGCTGCGGGTAAAGTATATTGATCGCAAGTGCTCAGTTTGTGATTATACCTTGTTCTGTTGATTTGTAATTTCAAATATCCGTAGATGGAAATAGTTCAGTAAAGTTAGCAACAGATTCGCAGATTAGTATTTTCCGGATCAATAACTCATGTCATTATGACCTATATTCGCTATTAGTATGACTATGGCGAAGGTTTAAACGGATCAGTGCTCATAATATCGAGCGAAAAAAAGAAAAAGACAGCTGTGAAACATAACCTGCTTTGTATTTTTGTAGGAAACACAGTTTAGATCTGTTTAGGGTAAGAGGTGTGTGAGTTATTCCCGTCAGTCTGTCACTGAATGTGTTAGGAATATCAAAACAAAACCAACTTAGCTCCGCTCCTTAAGTGCCCCTCACACAGCTTGATCCACGCTGGCATTTCTCCTCTTGGGTTTTTAGTTTTGAAAAAATAAAAAATTCCACTATCCCGTCCAAACTTTAATGATACCGGGTATCCGATTTGCACAATCCATATGCACTCGCTCAAAAGCTTGACCGAGCCCCTGCGCGTAGCTACAGTTGCTTAGCCACGATTGGTGGGTGGCGGTTTTTGGGTGTGGCTTAGCGAAGGGTCAATTAAATCACACATATACATACCCACATATACACATACAAAGTGCCTTATTAAAAGATTACAATTTTTCAGAGCAACAATAGATGATTTCTATTTAAAAAAAAAAAGTTGTTCTACTAAAAAGCATCTGAAACCTTCGATAGCACCTGAGAAATACAAATCTATGTGTAAATATGTAATTTATTGCTGTTGTAAAATCCTGTGAATGTTTGAAAATGCTTAAAGGGGACCTACTTTGCAAAAATGACTTTTATCAAGGGTTTAAACACAGTTGTGTTGCAACAGTGTGTGAATAGAGTCAGCATAGAGTCAGCCTCTAATGGTAAATCTTAATAACTTTTTTTTTTTTTTTTATAATCACACTTGATAAACACTTTGATTTGACATTCTCTCTTTGTACATGTCATCGGGGGAGGAAAATCTCTCCCTCATCAGCATAGACAGCTCTGAGTGAGAAGCAGCAGTCTGCCATTAGAGCTTTCGCACCGTACCTGCAGCAGATAATGTCAGCGACTGAGAGGCGTTATAAATGTTAATTTTTAGGATGCTTTTAAATAAGAGGTCTGGGAGCATCTCTTTTGAATATACCAAAACAGCACATTCTGGATCAAAGCCTGAAAGAGGGAAGTTTCAGGGAGTTATAACAAAATATTTGTTGGCTATTTAGTGCTTAAACTTTACATGCACACTCTAGGGACATCAGAGACTTATTTTACATCCTGTTAAAAACCGGCATCCCCTTTAAATGTGACTTTGTAAAAGGACTCTGTGTCTGTTATGTGCAGGTGTGCCAGAGACTGCCTGAATATGGAGTGCATTTCCACCGTGTGCTTCCAGAAAAGAGATCTCTGACTGGCATCATGCTGGGCATTTACTCAAAGGGTGTCCTCATCTTCGAGGTGTTAAATGGAAATCGAACCCCTGTGCTAAGGTTCCCCTGGAGGGATACTAAGAAGATCTCTTTCACGGTAAGATGTTTATGTTTGGTGGAAATCACAGTTCCTGGAAAAAGCCAGGGAGGCTGAGACTCACATGCAGGCCTTCGGTGTTTGCTATCATATGTTTTTTTTTTATTATTTTTTTTTATATATTGCAGAAAAAGAAGATTTGCTTGCAGAACACTTCAGACGGGATCAAACATCTGTTTCAGACGGACAGTCAGAAGACCTGCCAGTATCTACTGCAGCTGTGCTCGGCTCAGTACAAGTTCCACCTGCACATGAAAGCCAGACAGAACAACCAGGAACTGCAGGAGCTGGGTGAGAAATAATGAAAAACATGTTGGCACCAATAGGCTAGCAGACACAATGCACTCTGGTGATCACAGTGACCCAAGTTCAATTCCCGGCTTGAGGTCATTTGGCGAGCCTTCCCCTTCTCTCTCTGCTCCCCACACTTTCTTGTCAATACTCAGCACTCTCTTATCCATTAAAGGTTAAAAACCTATAACAAGTAATTAAAAAGGATAGACTTTTGGTTTATCCACTTTGGAGCAAGAAAATGATTTCAATAGTTTATATGTTGGAAAGAAAGGTGCAAACTGAGCAGCTTTCACACAATTCTGACTCAAACATTTTAAAAATGTATAGTTTCAGTATGTATTCATATCGGATACATTTTCACAGATGAACAAGGCCTGAATCTGATTTGAGTTAATCGGAATCCATGTGATTTGTTTCTGCTTGCATCCACATGGACCATATGCGATCTGTGCCACATGACAGAAAAAATTCGGAATTGAGTCACTTGAACAGTGCAGTATAAATGCAGCCTTAATGTTTCACCATTTATAAGAATTGTTGAGCACAAAATCAGGATGTTATATTGACGTTTGAAAAATGATCTGATTCAGTCGTGAAGTCCTGCACTATATGATTTCGGTGCGTAATCTCATGAACAGAATATCTCAAAAGGACATCATAATTATTGCAATTACTCAACAAGTGCAGATAATGACCTTTTGGATTAAAAAAAATCTGATAAAACAGATTTAATTATGTAAAACACCAATTATAAATGGTCATAAACTGACAGACTTCCAAAAAAAAAAGCTGAATAAATTAAAGTTCCTGTCAAATGTGCATTGTTTTATTCAATGTTTGATGTAATCACAACGGAAAAATAAAGAGAGAGTAGGACATAGTGTAGCTCCTCCCCTTTTAAATAAACAGCCAATAGTGTTTTGTGTTTATCTGAACTCTGCCAGTGAGAGCCGCTGAGCTCAAGTGCATCTAATTTAAAGGGTCTTTAAGGAGCGGGGCATGTCAGATACTAGAGAGCATTTGATTGGTCAAGATTTGATGAGGTGACGTGACATAAATCATTGATTTATTTATGCGAAAGCGGCAAACTGCAACCTTATGATGTTTATATCGGTTTTACATCTTCTAAACGTGAATTTTGTCGTTTGTTTTGGAGCACACTAGCTAATAAATATCTGTAAAATTAACAAACTGACACTAACTTAAACACTATTTTATTTCAGAGGACCTTTAAAAGTTAGACATAACCATGTACTGTTTTCATATGGAAATTTGGCAAGCTTATTTTCCAACATTAAGAGCAAAACATTAGAACCCACCCCAAGACCCTCTCTTTAAAGCGGTAGAAAGTGGACACAAGAATTAAAAAAACAGACATGAATTGAATCAAAATTAGTCTAAATATTGTAAAAATGGTTGTTCTATTATTCTGAACACTTCTTTTACATGACCCTTACCATCTTTATTTCTTCTGTCACTTCTTCCTCTCAGAGAACTCTCCGCTGAGCAGTCTGCAGTACTCTGATGGGATGGGTGCAGTTAGTCTGTCCCCCAGCTCTGAGCCTGAACTCTACAAGAGGATGTCCTACTCAGAGATGTCCCTCAGTAAGAGCTCATCCAGTCGGGTCTCTGTCCCATCTGAACCGCCCTATCCAGGGTTCAGCAGCAGCTCCAACCCCAGGATGAAGAGCCGTTCCCATCATAACCTGGGCCAGCTGCCAGAGTCGCCAGAGCACAGGATGGTGCCATTCAGTAGCCAATCACAGAGCAGCATGGCCCGATCACAAGTGCTCGCGTCATCACATCAGCGTGCAAATTCAGACACGGGATCCATCGCTGTGGCCAGACAACAAGAAAGGTGATGCATGCATGTGTGTTTTTAGTAAGCAGTTAGATGTTGCGTCTTGTTTTCTGTTTCTTGTGGCCTGTTGCACAGAACGAGTCAAACAAACTCCAGAGTATGTTTTGGTTTGACAAATCGAAACAAATTCAACCTGGTAAAGTGGTTTCACAATGCTTGATACAAACTTTCTTTGTTGACTCAGTTTACCCAGAGTTTGTTATTGACTTTTGGAGTACATTTACTTCTTTTAGTAGCTCTAATGTGGTTTCTCTTACGTCTTTACTAAGTTCTTGTGCTTATCTGCTGGTTCACAATATACCCGTCTCCTCCTTCTGGTTAAATCTAGTTCATTATGTCTTTACACTTCTGTTTTTCTCTCTAATTATTTATTCATGCTTTTGATTTGCATAACGGGACCTTGATATTTCTTCCAACAAATTCTAACGTTGAAAAGTTAACCTTGAATAGATTAAATGAGCAATATCACACGAGTAGCAGTGTGATATGGCTGTATTAAATTTATTAAATGCCTCAAAAGAGGTGATTGTAAAAACCCCTTAGACCACTATGAGTGGATCTCAGAGAACAGTGTAATAGAAAAAGCAGAGGTAGTTCATGACTACTTTAATTAATAATCTAGGGTTAAAATCATGAATGCAGTATTGTTACTGTAAATCTGTATATTAAATATTTATTCCTTACACTGTTAATGCATGCATTCATTGGATCCCTTAACAAAAAAGTGATGTGCATAGCATTGTCCAGCCTATCCTGTGATTTATCCACATGATGAGAATAAATCATCTAACATGCTTCACACTACTTAATCCTAAAATGTGGTATGCTGATTTAACTGTGCTCTCTTTCACTTTGAGGAGAGCAGTTACAGCATATACATGCGCTTCAGATGATCAAATTCAGCACAGTTCTAATAGCAAAGAGTGTCAAAAACTCTATTTCCAAACTTTGAAGAGTTACTTCATCCAAAACATTGATTGTCACATTTTACCAACTCTACTTGTGTTCTTGAACATTACACGAATTGAACTTCTGTGTTTACTAGAATATATGTGCATTGTAAATCTGTCATCAGTCGAGCGGTCTAATCTAAATCAAAGTCTTGTGAAGAGACAAATACACATTAAATGGAGGGATAGAAATCTCTGGTTTCATAAAAAAAGAATTAAAAGAAACCTTGCAGTTAGAAACAGTATAGGAGGTAAGTAAGTTGGCTCGAGTGCCTTAGTGTCCCACCAGTGCTGATATACAGCCATATCGTACTGCTACAAGTGTAATATTTTATTTATACAACAGTTCGACGGCATAATCAAGTATATAAAAAAGAAAATCAAACAGGGAGAGTCTCAAAAACCCTTTTGTAAGAGGAACTACTTTCTTCCACCATTCCTTCAAATCTGCAGCTGACATCTGAACAGCAGAAACCATTGCTACTTTAAAAATGCCACTTTAAAGCTAGTATATGAATGATTCTTTAGTGTAATGTCTAAAATTAGGACAAAACCTGTATTTTGCTGACATTTTAGGCTTATAAACCTGAACGGCATGAAATGCCATCAGTCTACAGAGATTTCCCAGTATTCCTCTGTATGTGCAAATCAAGATATCACAATAATTAACCCTGAAAAAGCCAAAGGAGAGCAAACACTACCAGTTTCTGCGGTATAAATACAGCACTACAAAATACAAAAGAGTGAGATCGACTCTTGTCCTGGTTGGTGTTGTATATTACAGTACAAAAACCCTGTAATAAACTGGAGGTACATGTTCTGTTATTTCACAGACTTATTACTTCATATATTATTTCTTCTACATTATATTATCTCACACCACAAAAATGTCAATGAGAGTTGAATTTTCAACCTCAAAAGTCGACAGGGCAGAGATCAAGTTCCCATAAAGCAATCCACAACTGTAAATAAACAGAAAACACTTGTGAATCTCACAATATGAAAACTGAATTAACAGATACGTTTTACAGTGTAGCTTTTTTGTAAATGTCTCACTCTCCTGATCCATGCAGTTTATTTTATCTTATCTTTTTGACAGTTTCTTTCATATCTTTCTATCCATCTTACTCTCTAGCTCTGACATGGTTTTGATCATGTTTTAAAACTCTTACAATCTTTTTCACTCCTCCTCATATACAGTTTTTCTGATGTCTCTGAGTCTGTCACACTCTCCTGTTCTGCATTTCTGTTTCTCCGTCGGCTCGGTGCTGGGATGCCTGCAGCCAGAAGCATAAATCAGCTCTCGGGGGAAGACAGACAGTCTGTGCGCATCTGAGAATGATGGTCTTAAACCATGTTTGCACATGTTTGGAGGCATTTAATACTCCTGTGAAGATGGTTGTAGTATTTCAGACTCTGGCCATAATGCATATTCACTAGAGCTTTCAAGTGTCTCATAGTTATGACTTGAACATTTAAAGTTAGAGTTATAAATCTGTAGTTTTCCTCTCTGGTGATATGCTGTGCCCTCCACACATTTTGGCATCATTAGTAAATGTGAGCTAAGAAAAAAATGTCTTGATTGTTTATTCCGCTTAAATATTTTGCTCAATTTTAACCAAAAAAAATAGAAACAAAGACAAAGATGACTGCATTTGTTTTTGGATAAATATTTTTTCAAATTTTGCGATCTTTTCAAATTATTCGTGGTGTTGTTTGTGATGTCAGTTTGTGGTTTTGAGACTTTCTCGCTCCAGGGCCTAACTAACATCTGCAATTCTCCTGCTGTGATTCTTGGAGGTTTTTTTTCTGTCTACTCCAACCATTATTTATGCAAAAGAACGCACATGTGCTCTTTCAGTTAACTGTAAGTGTTATGAATTAGTCTGGAATTTTTTATTGTTGTCCTGATGGTGGAAATTGACAATTTCAGTGAGAATTTCAGTTCTATTTGTATTTAATTTTTTAAACAGGAGCTCAATACAACTATACTTTAACTCTTTATTGGGCAAAATAGAAATAATCATAGGAAAAAAACCATGCAGTGTTACTGGGGCTATTACAAAACTTACTGTAAACATATACTTATGCTATGTCCTGGTTCGTAACTTATTAGACAATTTTTTTTTATGGAGAGAGACTGTAAAGGAATTATTTTTTGGTAAAATTGTTATTACAAGTAAGTCTTAAATTGTTTGTTTATGTTGATTTCTAACCTATTTGTTATAGAAATGTGTACAAAAAAATCCCTAAAAACATATATAAATATTATATATATAATACTTGTTGTGTCGTAAATTCGACGTCTTATCAATTAGAAATTATCAGACCAGAGGTTTTGAATATCAGAAAATAGACTTTATTCTCCATACTAAAGCCGAGAAAGAGCAGAGCAGACCCCAGAGCATTCTGAAGTCTCTCCTGGACACCTTCTAAAGTCTCTCCTGCTCCTTCTAAACTTTCAGTGTGTTTGTTACAATTTTTATACAGGATTATTTGACACACCCCTAAGTCTCTTTTTAACTCTTGACCATTTTTGAATAGGTTTCTAGTCTAAGGGGTCCTGCTATTCTTGGCTCTCAGCCCACTAGCTCATGTCAACAGAGATGTTACAGGTCTATGTCAGCAAAGTATAGATGCAACTTATGCAAAGGAACTAAGTGTTTACATACATTGTCATGATAGGATAATAACTTGATAATGTTACTCATTCTAACTTCTGACACATATAGCTTTATAGAAGTATTTAACATATATGATCAGTGCTTTACATATTCAGTTATTCTACACAATCAGTCACTCAGCCTTCTCCTAGTGTTGCTCCTTTGCAGGCACACTCATCTTACACAGACATATCACTGTATTTTTAACACACGCTGGCATGTTTGCTGCAAACACTACATACATTTTGAGAAGAGAAAATTAACTGCTTTACACTTAGAAAATACTTCATACAGAGAGAATAAAAAATCTTCTTCAGTTGTTGTTTTATTTTTTAAATAAAATATGCTGTGATTGTTGCACTTTTCATAGTGAGGCAACTATTTTTGTTAACATTTTGAGCAAAACATTAAAATGTTAAAGGTGGAGTATGTGAAGTTGGTGAAGTTTGACACCCAGTGGTTGAACTTGGTATTGCATTACAAACAAACTAGCATTAGCATTCCGAACAAACTTCCAAACCAGATTGAGGACCAACTAGAGCGAGTCTGACTATCTTGCCTTAATGCTGATTTAAGTCGTGTTCTAAATAAAAGCAACAGCACATGATAGAAGAAATATTTTCCATATCAAATGGAGTTTATGTTCTAACCAACATCTCGAATTGATATATTAGAAGCGGCATCTATTGCAGCTGAACAACAGGATAAACTGACAATGATCACCGCAGGTACACCTAATGTGCTTTATTCAGTGTTGAATCCTGACAATGTGAGTTTGAATGGCATTTTACATCACATTTATTGCCATATACTGAAAGCAGCAGCAGATAGTTCACCTCAGATCTGAAAAATAAAATAAACCGTTTGAAATTAAACTTTATAACTGTGACTCAAAACCAACACATTTTAGTGATTTAGCATCTACATTTAATAATGTTAAAGAGGTTTAATATGTATTAATTATATTATAAACTATAAAATTATAAATTGGAGTGCAGTAAGTGCAATATTCTGTGCTTCTGAATGGCTGTATTTAAATTTCCGCCATGTTGCATCTGATGCAAACAGCCAAATTACTTATCAGTGCAAATGTCATCACAGAGCATGTTGTTAGGACACGGGGTTACAATGTAACCTGCTCACCTAATGTTTACATTTGTAACATTTATACTATTTGCTAATTAATAACCACCTCATGTGGAACTCTGAATCTGCATCTCAGTTCAGAGTCTGCTACTGTCCACCGGACGTTGCATTTCGATGACAGACACATACTTTGACACATTTGCTGAAATATAATTGGCTAAAGTGACAATGGGCGGGCTAAATGGCCAAAACAAAGACAGCCGTTCCAGCACATAACTCATTTTCAAAGCAGAATATCTTACTTCAGCATTGTTTTTCAGATAAACAAGAATGTTCACTTAGCATGTTTCTTAAATATGTGCAAACATATTATGGTATTTTTATGCTTTAGAAGAGTCAAAAATGCACATCCAGCACCTTGACCCAACAAAATATTTTTCTCACATCTTTCACTACTCATATTTACCAAAAGTGCTATTATGAATTGATCAGAAAAGAACTATTTTTTTTCCTCCTACCACTGAAAGTAATACTGTTTTTTTGTACTGATTTTGTTTGTTTCTCCTGCAGTTTGTCGGTGGATGACAGCCCTCGCTGGAGCCCTAAAAGCCTAAAGAAAGAGTCAGACTCTTCATCCTGCGAGGACACGGGACAGGCATATGTCGTAGGTGAGGAAAAGAAGACATGAGCGGCTGTTTCTCTCTTATCTCCACTCAAAGCTCAGTCTGAAAAATGGCTCGCCGCTCCCTCAAAGAACGTGTCTTTCTGCTTTTGAACGTTGTCTAACCTTCCTCACTTTGTAGTCTCTCTCTCTTGTCTGATGGTGGGTGGAATCAGTCTCAGTGGAGTCACAACTGTCGGACGCTTTCGTTTTATCTTTCTAACAGCTTTCTCTCTGTTCCCTCAATGATCTTTTCATTTTACCTCTCCATTTCATCCCGACATCCTCTGTCAGAGACGCAGAAGCCCAAATCCTCTCAACATCTTCCTCCGCATGTACAGAGATGCCATAAAGAGATTACAGGCTGAATTTGTGCGCTTAAACATGCATCAGGGCTTTTCTTTGTGTTAGCGAATAATACAAGGCTTTATAGCAAGTAAAAGGAAATGTCAGGGTTTGGCTGATGTTATAATGATAAGATGTTTTTTATTTTTTTATATCTGGGTAAAGAATGGGTTTGGGGCAAGATTGAGTTTGTTTGCAAGCAATTTGACACTATAGCATGGATAAGTAATCTTAAGAAATGAATAATTGCAAAAAATATGTGATAAAAGTCCCATTCAAAAGGTTTGAGTTAGTTACTGTGCATTTATTTGAATGTTTTTACTTTTGTATTTTTTAAAGTATTTAATAAAATAGTACAGTGAAACAAGTAATTTGTTGATGTAGTATAACACTTTAAAATATAAGTTTTATATTGTACTGCACGTTAAAATTAAATGTATTCCCAAGATGGCAAATCATTATATTTTATCTTCATAGAAATCTTGGTATCACTTAAGAATAAGAGTATATTAGTTAATGTGTTTATTAACATTAACCAAGTATGAATAATATTGTAAAGCATGAATTAATAATAGTTCAGCATTTACTATAGCATTATTAAAATGAATAGCTGTGCTTGTTAACATTACTTAATGCAGCGTGAGTTAACATAAACTAATGTAATTTAATTGAGATGATTAAATACCAAAATAAATGCATTACTAATTGTTTGTTCATGTTAGTAAATTCATTCACAAATTTCAGGTAACTTATTATTAGCTAATGTGCCTTTGTAACTTGTAACTAATAAACCTTTGTTTTACTTATATTTAATGACAATTTGTTTACATCAATCCACAATTTCAATTTATTCATTTCTGTTTTAATCAACTCTAAGTTTTGGTAAATTATCCCTGAACGAAAGATACTTGTATCATCCACAAATAAAATAAACGACTTTGATATCTTACACGTATCATTAATGTATTACTTACATTTAGTAACTTACATTTAGGTATGCCAATTTCAACAAACTGTTGCCTACTTTTTAAATAACTACTTATCCTACTTATGATGAATTTGCTCTTCAGTGTTTGGACTCTCAGTAATGATTTTAAACCACACTGAACTGAGCTAAACTGAACTGAACTTAAACACTAAAAACTGACTACTCTGTTCCTATTACTATGACCATTTATGTGAAGCTGCTTTGACACATTCTACATTGTAAAAGCGCTATACAAATAAAGCTGAATTGAATTAAATTATCCAATCCGAAGCTACTCTTGATACTCTTGATATTGTCAACCTCCTCTGCCTGTGTGTTAAGCTTTTTTGGTGGCATATAGTTTTTTTCGTTTTTTATTATTGTTATTTTTGTAGCATAACCTTAACACCAGCACACGCCAGCATACAATGAATGAATGAAGGCATTAAATTAATAAATAAACAAATATCTATAAATGTTTTACTACTTATGTGGATTGTATTTTTTTTTTTTGAAGATTAAAAAGAGCATATATTAAAAAAAAAACATATTTTTAAAAATATTTTTATCACTTTTGGTTAATTTAATGTGTTATAACTGAATAAAAATATTTATAGAAAAAAGTCCTGCTGTGCCAAAACTGTTGAAAATCTGGTGTATATAGCGATACGTTAACATAAACATCTGTTTGAAATTATATGCAGTCATATAATCCAATCATTATCACATTTTTTAAATTATAAAATAAAGCATAAATATAGCTCTAGACCTAAAATCAAATAAAGACTATTTCCTAAGATTGACAGAGTAGTTTCCAAAGAATTAAAATACAAAAATGTGCATCAAAAAAAAAAAAAAAAAAAAAAGATTTTGACGCCATTCTTTATATTTTTCCTTGTATACATTAATGTTTTTTTTTCTACTTAAGGGTTTACTAAAACTTTTGTTTCATAATCTCTAGGCGTGAGCATGCACAGCTCTGGAGTTCCCTCCACTCCTGCCTCCTCCATAGGAATCACTGGTACGATCTGGGTTTTGTTTAGCTTGGTGTCACCCAGCTTGTTTCTGTCTGCATGTCATCTGTTTCTCTTCAGTTTCCAAATATAGCAAGTCCTCATGGCAAAGTATATCCGGTGCATATAGAGACAAGAGTGTTTACAGGCTTCACAAACCACTTGTAGAAAGACACTTCTCTCCATATACACCAGACACTTTAGTTAAACTTTATCTTACAAGGATTTAATAAGGAAAACAGTGTTTACTTGTGAACGTACAACACAATCATGCAGTACTACCTATTTTCTTCAGCCTTAAATAAATCTTTTGCCCAATATCTTGCACAATGTTGTTCTGTCTGTGTAAAAGTACTTGTATAGTCTGTCGTAGACTATGTGTTTAGCGAAGTACTTGTTGTGTGTGTATAGTTAGTAGGGGCGTAACAGATCACAACCCACGGTTCGGAACACGTGACCTGCCGATTAATAACTTTTCATTTTTAATTGTAAATTAATCTCTTAATTAGATTAATTAAGAGAGATCACCCCACTTCATTCAAATCACACCTGCATGAAAGCATTTTGGCTTTCCTGTAAAATATAATGATGACAGAAGAAGTGTGGTGACACCTAAATGCTTTCTAATGTTATTAAAGGTGTTCTACTTGTTTAGCTTGCATTAATGCATTCAGTGTAAAGCTTCACAATTAAACATTAAAAGATCGAGATCTCAATTCAAACACCAACAACATAAATTATAAATGATAAACATTTTTTATTCCTCCTGCGAGACCGAGAGATTCAGTTTTTACACTTTTCATTCAGTTACAAACATTAAAATGACACAGAAATACTGGGAGAACGGTTTATAGTTATGATTTGAAGCTGTTGAAATTTGTAGCATATACATTGTTTAACCGATAAGTGGCGACAAACAAGCATCAAAAATATGCCACTGAATTATTCAAAAATGATACATCTAGTAATGAAACAAGTTTTATGGGAGAATTCTTAAATCACGAATTGAAAATGAGACTAAAAACAAATATGGTGTTGTACAAGATTATAATGTTAGATTTATACATTAGCATTATCAGCAACAGTAACAAAGATAATTTTTCTCAATATGAATATTTATATTTTTTTATTAAGCTGGTTATTTCATGAATTTTTTTTTAAATTAAAATTAAAGGTTCTAATATATGTTTGTTGAAACCAAAAGAGTCTTACACTAAATGTAATAAATGGAAAGCAAATGTTTTGCTGTCTCCATTTTTTGTTGATCTGAAAAATTGTCCGATCCGTGACTCAAAAACCATAGTGTGATCAGAACCATGAGTAGGCTTATCACAATAAGCAATATCATAGACATTACCTCTATCATTAATGGGGATGCAATATATATCTCCCATACATAAAAAGCAATTCTAGCAACATTTTAGCTGATTGCGCAACATCTTGATCTCTATTTCAGGTGTCGGTGTCAGTCAAGTTAAAAAAGCACTATAGTATTTACTATAAATGACTTTTATATTTTTATGTGGGTGTCTTACAACTGAAATTATCTGGTAACAGATATCGCTGCCTTCATTACCTTTTACTTTGCATCTTTTTTGTTGATAAGATTTATTATTTATTTGTTTAGGATATGCATTTTTTACATTCTTAATGTGTTAAAATTGTCAAAATGACTATAAATAAAATAAATATTCTTACAAATAAAATATTAAGTGTTCCTTGGAGGAGTCTACTTGCATTATGTTGATATTAAATTGTCATTCTGGCATTATATAATGAGTGGCACAAAGTGGTCTTAAAATGACAATAATATTGTTTATCGCAATATATTTTGGTGCATTATATTGTACAACAAAAAATATATATATTGTGACAGGCCTATGAGATTTGTGATCTGTTACACCACTAGTAGTAAGTAGTTAGTATAGTTAGATTATCGCTCTGGTATGTTATAGGTTTAAAATAGCTCTTACATCCAGTGTTGAGTGCATATTTCTAATTGTGTTTATTTATGTACACTGTAAAACCCAAAAAGTTAAGGCAAACCATTTGAGGAAACCGATTGCAACAAACCATTTATGTTTAAAAACTAATCCTAATGAATACTGTAAACCTAAAAAAATTTAGTAAATGAAGCAATTTGAGCACAGTAAAACCCAATACATGAAGAGAACTCAAACCAGTTGAGTACTGTAGAACCTAATAAGTTAAGGCAGCTCAAAACATTTAAGGAAACAGATTGCAACAAACCATTTGAGTTACTTCATTTAAGTTGATGTAATAAAGTATTTAATATTAACTCATTACCTTCAACACTGAGTTTAAAACTATTTTCAAATGAGTAGAATTAACTTTCAGTACATTTTGAGTTAACTAAACTTATTTCATTTGATAAAATTGACTGTTGGGATTTACATTGTAGCGCCGCCTAGTTCTGCGAGAGACACAATATTTCATTCCACTTAATGTCCACACATGACAAAGCTTGACTTGTCTTGACTAGTTAGTAGGAAACATTGTGTCCTGGTCTGGCCCTGAAACACAAACATTAGCGGAAATTAAAGTGAACTTTTAATAAAACAGATCAGACCCTTTTAATGTCAATAGCAATAGTTTACCTCACAGTGACACTGGACCTCACAGTTCAATCTCCAAATCCCAGACTCTTGCCAAATTCAACATTCTCTGGTGTTTTCTAACGCGCTTCTCTTCTCTCGACTCAAGTTTCATTGGCATTTCTTTCTGGCTCACACTCTTTATTTTTTTCTTCGCTAAGCTGTGTGTTTTTAGCAGCGCTGATATACTGCCTTGCTAAGAGCTAATCTCTAGTCTCGGCTGTTAGTAAAGTACATCGCAGCCAGGCCAAAACATAATGCTGTCCTAAAGCACCCAAACACTAGTTAGTGACAGATCAGTACAGCTTATAGAAAGACTGTTTATGCTAGTTTTTTTCTCTCTTTCTCTGAAAGAGCTGTTTAATTTCTATAGCACATGTACTGTATATTATTACACCAGCCATAAATCTATTTTTTCAGTCAAGTTTTACTTTTGGATTTGGCGAATATGTATGATTTGTAAGAATGGGACAATATTTGGCTGAAATTTAACTATTTGAAAATCTGCAATCTGAAAATGTCAGATATATTGATCAAACCGGCTTAAAGGCATAGTTCACCATAAAACTGCAAATTCTGCCATTATTTATTCACCCTTTATTTGTTTCAAATCTGTTTGGGTTTCTTTTTTCTGTTTAACACAAAAGAAGATATTTTGAAGAAAGCTGGAAACCTGTAACCATTGACTTCCATAGTATTTGTTTTTCTTTTTGTGGAAGTCAATGGTTACAGGTTTTCAGCTTCTTTTAATGTATATTCATTGGTGTTCCAACACAATAAAGAAACTCACAAAGGACCCATTGAGGTTGAGTGAATAATGGGTCAATTTTCCTTTTTTAAATAAACTATCCCTAGTAGTTGTTCAAATTTTACCCGTATCAATGCATGTTACTATTCAAAAATCGCGTTTTAATTGTGCACAGTAGGAAAATGACAAAATATCTTCATGAAACATGGTCTTAATTTCTAATTTTTGAAAAAAAAATATATTGATGTAGTTTATAAATGTTATATATGTTATAAAATGTATCATTTGCAAAAACACATTAGTAATACAACATATAAATATTTTATATTATTTCAACTTTGACTAACTAACGTTACTATCACAGTAAATATTAAACAAATGTGCTGTATGCAAGTTTTTGACTCTTCTAAAGAATAAAAATACCATAATATGTTTATGGTATGTGCATAATAGGCAGATACTTAAGAAACCAAGTGAACATTTTTGTTTATCTGAAAAGCAGTCCTGAAGTCAGATATTCTGCTTTAGAAATGTACTTTTTATGCTGGAATGAACACTGTCTTTGGTTTGGTTCTTTTAATCTGTCCAATGCCATTTTAGCTAATTATATTGCAGCGCTGCCTTGGTGGAAAACCACATATTTCATTCATTCAGTCAGAAAGGTTCTCAAAGCATGCACCCATGACCGAAATACGACCTCCAGTGGACAATAGCAGACTCCAAAATGAGACACAGATTCAGAGTTCCATATTAGGTTATTAATTAGCAAATAATATAAATATTACGAGCGTAAAAATTAAGTGAGCAGGTTACATTGTAACCCTGTGTCTTAATATTAAATATTATTATTATTAAATATAGATGCAGAATCACTGATATGTGTTGGTTTGCATTATTTCAGAGTTCTAAAGTTTAATTTCAGATTTAAACTTTTATTTTGGTTTATTGTCAAGATCTGAGGTGAACTATCTGCTGCTAATTTCAGTAGTATGGCAATAAATTTGATGTATAATGGCATTCAAACTCACATTTTTAGCATTTAACACTGAATAAAGCACATTAGGTGTACCTGAGATAAACAGAACTGTCAGTTTATCCTGTTGTTCAGCTGCAAGAATTAGAAGCCGTTTCTAACATATCAATTCGAGGTGTTGGTTTGGACAAAAACTTCATTTAACTTGGAAGATATTCCTTCTGTCGCATTTCAATGCTTTTATTTATAACTCGACTTAAATCAGCCTTTAGACTCAATAGTCAGACTTGCTCCAGTTGGTCAATCTGGCAACCTGCGCTTGTGTTAGTTTTGATCCAGGAACACAATACCTAGCTCAACCATTGGGTATCAATTTTGCATAACACACCTTTAAGAATACACAATCTAATTAAGAATCTATAATTTTAATAAAAATAATTGGGTTTGATAACATGTACATTTTAGAGATTAATAAATCCTTTAAAGGTGCTAGTTATTTTATGTTTACAAAGTTTTATTTCTATCAAATATGGATTGATGTAATGATTCACCTGACTCACAATTTGATACGATTCACAATACTATTATACGATTTAGTCACTATTTTTTTAACCAAATTATTTGAAACAAATTTAAGGCTGAAGGGCTGTTTAATTTTTTTCTTAAATGCTGCACATTTTTTGATGTGCAGGTAAAGCGAGTTTGCACCTGTAAACACAGCACCCCCTCTGTTCAAAAAAGATTTGTTCAACTTTTCCACTCCTTTGAATCATCACATATTTTAATCAATTTTAAACCCGTTCTTGGTGAATCTTTACATCCTTAATACCAAATTTTTGTGATGCATGTTTTGTACACGTGTGAATGGACCATACTCTTTTTCATTCTGACACTGGTTGTTAACTCTCAGTGTGTCGATGCATAAATTCAAATGCACTATTTTAAAACCACAAATCGCTTCATCCCCTCTGCTGTTTTCCCACCCACAGATTCCCTGAAGAAAAAAGTGCAAGCTTTACCCTCCCCAGAGCGAGAGATACAGACTGTAAATCTGAAGAAAGACGTAAAGTACGGCCTGGGTGAGTAACAACACCCTCTGCTGCTCATACAGTCAGGACAGAGCTCCTCACACACACACACACACACACGCGCACACTCACTCACACACATAGACACATTGAAGTAAAGCATAGTGTGATTGATAGCAGAGATCTGGCAGTCCTCATATACACACACACTGATTAATGATGCTGAACTGCTTTCTATCCACTGTCAATGGTGACCTGCAGTGAAGTATCTTATCAGAATTCAAACTGAATGTGAGGGATTGTGTCCATCACTGATCAGATCTGTCAACACTGGGATGTAAAACAACCAATGTTTGCACTGTGTTTAGACCAAATACCAAAATGTTTCCAAACTACTAAATGTGTTTCAGAAAAGATAAACAGCTGAAACAATAATATGGTAAAAAGGGGGACGTTACAAATGATATAAAATATAGCATAAAACAGAATCTGTTAAACAGATTAGCCTATTAAAAAGATTAGCCTAATAAACTAATTGAATTATCAAATCTTGTTCAATATATACTTTAATATGCATTTATTCTGATTAAAGTTATTATAGTTATTTAGCGATGAGCAGCATTTGTTTTATTTTTATTTTTACCACTTGAAGGCGAGTGAGTTTTAATTTTTGGGTGAACTATCCTTTTAATTCAATGTAAGATCAGTAATGTTACAGTTCTTTAAATCGTTCATTTGTTTTAAATGATTTGTAATGCTTTCAATTATTACATGTACTGTATATTATAACACCAGCCATAAATCTATTTTTTCAGTCAAGTTTTACTTTTGGATTTGGAGAATATGTATGATTTGTAAGAATGGGACAATATTTGGCTGAAATTTAACTATTTGAAAATCTTTTTTTAATAATGCTTTTAACAGCACTTAGACTGCATTCAACAGCCTCAAATTATTGCCAAAAATTGGCAACGCAGTGGTGCAGTAGGTAATTCTGTCGCCTCACAGCAAGAAGGTCGCTGGTACAAGCCTCGGCTGGCTCAGTTGGCGTTTCTGTGCGCAGTTTGCATGTTCTCCCTGCGTACGCGTGAGTTTTCCATGGGTGCTCCGGTTTCCCCCACAGTCCAAAGACATGCGGTACAGGTGAATTTGGTAGGCTAAATTGTCCGTAGTGTATGGGTGTGTATGGATGTTCCCAAGAGATGGGTAGCCAAGCCTAAAATTATTTATTCCCTGGCCGATTTTGACTTAAATGTTTTGTTCAAATGTAAATAAAAGCTGAGAAATATGTTATTTATACAATGATGCCTCTTGTACATCATCTTATTAAAGGGCCATAACAGCAGCCCCCCCCAGCATTTACAGCGGATCTTTCAGTCCATAATACAGTAGTGATAATAGCGTACTGTATACTTAGTACGTTAATAGTTTTGACTAAGGTCTGTCTTTAAAAACTGAAAGAGTACTGCTGATCATACTAACTTTGCCTCTGAATAAACAAACAAAGAACATTGATCGCACACTTACCAAATCTGTAGAGACAGGAAAATCTAAAAGGAGAGTAGCTGCAAATCCAGATTTCACCATTTACAGATTCAAAAAATGTTCCTTACAAACGTATATTTGTCACATGTTAGCAGGCCCCTGTAATCCATATGAGCTTCCAGCTGCGCTCGCATAGCAGGGAAATGAAAACAAAACCTTCATTACAGCATATTTATAAACAACACTGATAACCCATATCTCTGAACAATTCTTCTTCTTCCACTTTATTAATAAGGATTGGCAACACAACGTGCCGTCTCTCTGCCGTCTGAACATTGTTACAGGTAAAACAGTCTTCGAAGCTATCATGCATATTAATGAAGCACCTCATACACAATAGAGCGCACTGATTGGTTTGAACCAAGTCCTGCTCATAAACTAATGCTGAAAGCTCAAAGACGTCACGTTGTATACGCCGGTACAGACATCCAGTCTACAATGCTGGATTTTACACAAGGATCTAGTCGCTGTGAAGCAGCTTTTACATTTCTTTTCAAACCAGAAGAACAAATTTGCTTGAAATAATGCAAAAACAACAAATTTTCACTTTTTTTGTGAATTATGTGTCCTAATAATGTTTTTAGCAATGTGTGACACGTATATGTCTGTCAACATCTCAAAAAATGTGTTTTGGTGTTTCTTGACCCTTTACCTATTGGGTGAAGCCTGTGTCATTTCCAGTAAAAAAAAAAAAAATTGCGTTTTTGAATAAAAGTTGCTTTAAGTCAGAGTTTGCCAGGGTTATGAACAATTTTGAGCTTGACTGTGTGTTCGGAGACGTTGGAGGTGTTTCTGATTTTCATTCTGAATAATTCCAGAAAAGGAACAGACAGAGAGACTATCATAGTTTGTATTAATAATTTGAACCACTGATCACTGCTTTTTTGTAGCAGTAGAATGATGTGTGTGCGTGTGTGTGGCGCTACAGGTTTTCAGGTTGTTGGAGGAGAGAGTTCAGGCCGTCAGGACCTCGGCACCTTCATCAGCTCAATCACACCTGGCGGACCAGCAGACCTCAACGGCTTGCTGAAACCAGGTATGAAAAAAACCCTGTATTTTAAACTCTTTATTCTGTATTTTGTATTTAGCAAGTCACATCAATTGATAGAATTTGTAGGAACTTATTCCTTAAATATCCAAAGCACTATAATAAACATTTTGCATCCGCATATCAAAGCAAATTATGATCTTATTTTGTGCATGCTTTACATTTAAATAGTATTAGAGGCCCCTAGGGGGCATTAGCAACTTACAAATAGGGATGTAGAATGACTTGAATTGGGTGCAGTAGTGTGTCTTTGTCTATGTACAGTGTGTATGTATACACTCCACAAATATATAAACACAACACTTTCACAATTTCTATGTACACACACACACACACAAAAAAAAACGAATTCTCTCAAATATTGTTTACACATTAAAAACCAGTGTTCACACACACTCATTGTTGAGTTAAAGGCATAATTTACCCAAAATGAAATGAACTCTGTTTACTCTCCCCCAAGTGCTTCCAAACATTGATGAGTTTCTGTTTTCTAAACACAAAAGAAGATATTTTAAAGAAAGATGAAAACCTGTAACCATTGACTTCCACGGTGGGAAAAACAAATACTGTGGAAATTAATGGTGACAGGTTTCCAACATTCTTTAAAACATCTTTTTGTGTGCTCAACAAAAGAAAGTTTAAACAGGTTTGGAACAAGTGAAGGCTGAGTAAATGATGGACAGAATTGTCCGTTTTGGTTGAACTATTAACTTTAAGTCTAACAGTAAGTTGTAGTACAATTAATTTCAAGTTATACTTTTTTATTATTATTAATGTTTTAGGTTTGAAGTAATGATATCTCTGTCCCAGGACATTTGTTTTGTCCCTCGATTGTACAATATAAGCTTATGTGTAATCTTCAGTGTAAGCTACATTTCGGCTTTTGCTACAGGTGACAGACTGTTAAGCGTGAATGATGTCAGTCTGGAAAGCCTCTCTCACACTACTGTGGTGGAGATGCTGCAAAGCGCCCCTGATGATGTCTCACTGGTGGTCTCTCAGCCAAAGGAGAGACTGTTTCCAGGTAATGGAAGTAATACCTATTACTAAAATTTTTGTTAGTTGCCATTTTGAAAGAACTAAGGCCACTCAAACACAAGTATTTACAAAACCTCTGTTTGTCCACACGATAATGTGGTATCAGGTGACTGAAACCGAAACTTTCTGAAAATTCCGGCCAGGGTGAAGATTTTTCAAAACTCTTGGTATAATGTAATCATGTCGACACTACAGCTGGAGTTTTTGTATCATGACGTCAGCGTGCACATGTTTTCTTCTTTCTGATTGGCCAACATGGCTGGTTTATACCAAACGCTGAAGATATAATTTAGGCAAATTCTGCACGTTCAACTGGTAATCTGCCTTTATTCTTACATTTACATTTACATTGATTAGTATGCAGTGTTCTCGCTGAGCCCAGCATAAAAGGTTTTTATTGCTGGCTGTTGGTTTTGCATGTCCCTTTCCCTTTCATGCGTACGATCACACCAGTGTGATTAAAGCGTTAGAATCAAATCTGACGTCTCGCACTGAGAGATAGAAAAAGGAGCTCACTGCCAGTTCACCCAATTCACCTATACCGCATGTCTTTGGACTGTGGGGGAAACCCACGCTAACACAGGGAGAACATACAAACTCTACACAGAAATGTTAACTGGCCTAGCCGGGACCTGAACCAGCAACCTTCTTGCTGTGAGGCGACAGTGCTAATCACTGAGTCAAATCAATGTGTCACCCCACAATTAATCAGTGTTTTCAATTAAAGTTTATTTTAAGTTTTAGACACTCAAATACACATAACCACTAGCAAATCAGAACATTGAAGGTTTGTAAAACGGACGTGAGGAAAGAGAGTAATACGTGCATTTCTATCTTCATGTTCGGACTACTGTGACTTATATAGGTATTGGTCAATCCTATATAAATTGCCTACAAGTGGTCCAAAACACAGCTGCTAGACTTCTTACTGGCACTCGTAAATGTAAACACATTAGCCCTGTCTAACCCTCTCTGCACTGGTTTGCCGTTAGGTTTTAGAGTAGTTTAAAATTTTACTCTTTGTATTTATGGTTTTAAATGGTCTGGCACCTTCTTATATATCTGAACTTGTGACTGTTAACATACCTGCTAAATCAGAGTTGCCTAAAGTAAGGCCTGTGGGCCAGAGTTGGCCCATGGTAAATGGTTTGGACCTCCATCCCATCTCAAAGGAGAGGGAGAATGATGAGTAGTTGGTTGTGGTGAATATCTTTGACAGAGATTGTCCATTTTAATGTAACCTTTTGTTTCTTAGTTTACGTGAGAAATGTTTCATTTAAATGTTGTAAATGAATCAGACTTTTAAAAAAATGTCAATACTGTCACTTGACTTAGGACTATGCACAAGACATCGCCAAGCAAATCAAAACAAAGGTATAAGTATCTCGACTAGTGTATTGAGCATTGAACTCCATTGTGTTATAAATGGGATTGTTTATGTTTTTACTATAAAAAGTTCATCATAAAGTGTTCAAAATGATACTGCATCATTAATTAATATGATAAAAGCAAAGTTGTCTAGTTATTTTAAAATATTAACAAATAAATAAGGAAATAACCTATGGGAAATTTAATGTAATATGATTTGGTATATTTAATTTCGAACCACAGTCCTCAATCAAGTAGGGTTTTTGGCCCTTTATAAGAAAGTTACCCTGTGCTAGATGTTTAAGGCCATCAAGTCAGAAATGGAGTAATTAGTGTTGCTGGATACCGTTTGACTCCCCAGGAAATCATAAATCATTGTGTATTTGCAAGTGTTGTATTTAACTTTACTCATTTATTCATTTTCTTTTCACCTTAGTCCTTTTATTAATCAGGGGTCGACATAGCGGAATGAACCGCCAACTTATCCAGCATATGTTTTATGCAGCGGATGTTTTAACCCATCACTTGGAAACATCCATACACACTCGTTCAAGCACATACACTATGGACAGTTTAGCTTACCCATTTATCTTTGGACTTGTGGAGGGAAACCGGAGCACCCAGAGGAAACCCACACAAACACGGGGAGAACATGCACACAGAAATACCATGGCTCGAACCAGAGACCTTCTTGCTGTGAGGCGATCATGCTACCCACTTGCCCCCCGTGACGCTCTGTATTTAACTTTTTGATTATGCAGATATACTCCACTTCAGAATCAATCTAAAAATTATTATTCTTTACAAACTTTTTAACTCATCTAGTGAAATTGCTTTTAGATTTAAATATAAATTGCTGCAAATTAAATGAATTTTTTCCAATATCATGATGCCATAGCAAAAAAAAATTTCCACTAAATCTCACTGTAAATCTTCTCTCTCTTAGACTCTCCTTCTGGAGCCCATCACTATAATCCAGCCACACAAATCCAAGAATTAGACATGGACTCATCCTCTGAAGATCATACCCGCTCCCCGAGCCCTCCTTTTACAGCCAGCAAAACTTCGCCACCTCAGTCCATTCGGCAGGGCAGCATCAGCTCACAGGACTCCAAGACGGAAAGCGCCGGCCTCCAGCAAACACACCTCAATGGATTCCACAAAAACATTCCCATGGAGGGTCCCGTAGCAGCACAAGCTCTCCCTGCAGACATCAAACCTTCTATTGAAGCCATGCCACCAGCTTTGCCTCCTAAAACCAGAAAAGCTAAAGCCGCCGACGTCCCGAAAGAACTGGAATACTCTGACCGAGGGGATTCAGACATGGATGAAGACACGTACTCGAATAGCCAAGACAAATTAAAGACTAAAAAGGTAGACTCACTCTCTGTAGTGATTTAAGTGAACTTTGACTCTCACCTCAAGTTTGCGTTTGTGATTATAGTCAGTTTGATATGATTATGTGTGCTTTTAAACATGTTTTAACTTTATCCAAAAGTATTAAATTGATCTTTTTTTAAAATATTAGGACCGTTTTCGTTCGCTTATTGCATTCCTTTTTTAAAGTTCACTACATGGGGATTTTCACTTTAGTGCTCAGCGTATATGAGTACACCCCCCCACAAATCTCTCATTTAAATTAATATTTTTTCTATAGGAAGCTTTACAATATTATATTAAATTAGATTACATTATATACATTAGATTAGCCAGTACTGATGCCAAATCTGGAGCTTATCTAACAATATAACTTATGATAACGGTTTAAAAATGAGTAGCCCAAATTTATATGTTAGGAAAAATATTAAATTACATTTAAAAAAAAATTGCAAAAATTAAGAGAAGCAAAAAAAAAAAATTGGTTGAAATTTTATAGTTTGCATTTTTCTTGCAATATTTTGCTTGAATTTAATTGTATAATCTTTCAACTTCTAAAGATGTTCTTTGACTAAAATATTATTTTAATAAATATATCTGTTTAATAAATCTGTTTTGTTCACATACACCAATATAAATTACCCATGGTCACTGAGAAATTGATAAAAATATTACTTTTTAAAATGGGGTGTGCTCAATTATGCTGAGCACTGTAAATACACACAAATTTGCTGGTAATTCACTGAGCATCAGGCCATTCTTGATGTATTGTAGGTGACTTTTGTATTCATTAAATAAGGCTTTGGTGATTCATAAAATGCAATTTAATATTTGCGAGAAACAAGACAAGCATATCAGTGAATAAAATTAAACCCATTGCTCAGCACTGAAAAAAAAAAAGTTGACTCAAATTTTAAAGCAACCAGCTTCAGGACATTTTTGTGTTGACTCTACCTTCAACCCAACTACCGCACTTGACTCAATTTGAGTTGAGTAAAATAAAATGCCCTGAAGTTTGTTGCGGTAACGTTAAGTCAACTTTTTTTTTTTTTTTTTTTTTTCAGTGTGGAAGATACATTGAGGTGTGATTTAAAAAAATGTTTATTTCAGAGAACAGATGTTTTGATTCATTAGACATCAATATATTATTAGGAGTGTTATTAACGAGGAGTGTATATTATTAACGAGTGTTAATTGTACCATTAAAAAAAAAAAAAATATATATATATATATATATATATATATATATATATATATATATATATATACAGTTAAATTTAGAATTATTAGCCCCCCTTTGTTTTTATTATTATTTATTTTTTTATTTTTTTATATTTCCCAAGACTTTTCTGGAGAAAGTCTTATTTGTTTTGTTTCGGCTAGATTAAAACCAGTTTTTAATTTAAAAAAAAAACAAACATTTTAACTACGAAATATTAGCCCCTTTAATCCATTTTTTATACCAAACCATCATTATACAATAACTTGCCTAATTACCCTAACCTGCCTAGTTAACCTAATTAACCTAGTTAAGCCTTTAAATGTCACTTTAAGCTGTATAAAAGAAGAAATATATAGTAAAATATTATTTACTGTTATCATGGCATAGAGAAAATAAATCAGTTATTAGAAATAAGTTATTAAAACTATTATGGGTTGAAAAAATCTTCTTTCTGTTAAAGAGAAATTGGGGAAAAGATAAATCGGGGGCTAATAATTCAGGGAAGCTAATGACTTCAACTGTATGTTACTCAAGTTTCTAAAGTCTTGTAATAACTCTTTAGTAACGCTCCAAGCTTTTACCATTGAGTAGTTGAGTGAGTGCACTTTAAAGGGTTAAGGTGTCGGTATCCTTCAACTTGCATTTTATGATTCACTAAAGACCACTGTTTTAATCTAAAGTCAAATAGAAAAATAATAATGCTTGCAGAAGTCACATACGTACATCTCTACATATTGTGAGTTAACAGTAAATATGAATTTTTGGTTGACATATGTTGGATTTTTAATATGTTTTCATTTTTAATGGTGATATCTTAGGAAAAGGTCCCTAAAATGTATTCTTTTTATAAAAATAATAATAATAATAATAAAAGAATGTATGTGTATTACTGACTTAAACATAATCACTTATATTTTACAGACATAAACAAATGATCTGAATTTTCATTCTCCTCAAATCAGTCTCACTTTCTTAAGAAAGTTTTATAGCATGATTTGCTGTTCAAAAACAAACAAATAATTTTTTAAAATAAAAATTATAACTGAATTTATGTACAAATATTGTAATTTAATATTGTAACATGAGATTATTTTTCAATATTCTTTGATGAATAGAACGTTAAATTAATATAATTTATTTGAAATATTACTAACGATCGCTTCTGTCATATTTTTTCAATTTAATGCGTTCTTGTACATTTTTAACTTTCCTTTACTAATGCCGAGTTTAGACTGCATGAGTTTCAAAGTAGTCGTGTCACAGATGTTTTCACACTGCATCTGCTCTGGTATAGCGTTCCTTCGCTGCTGTGTTTACACTGCATGATGGAGACAGAAGCGACAGGGGCTTTCACACTGCATGACTTTACAATAGAAGAATCGCCGACAATTTTGTCTTGGTCTGCAAACTACGTATCACAAACAAACACATGCAAGAAGTGACATGGAAATAAAGTGAGGTCACGTAGTATAGATTTTGTTATTAACTACATAGTAAGAAAGAAGCTTTTAGTGGGGTAGAAATTGTACTTATTTTGCTCACCTGGGTTTGAAGGGAATTAGCAATTTCTCTCCAACCTTTTTCTTTTTCGACCCGGTTGTGGTATTGCTCAGATCACTCATCAAGACTCGGGTGCTCTGCCAAATTTACACTAGGTTTTCCTTGATTTCTTGGGTCCAAATAGACCTAAAAGAAGCAATTTTAACCTCTCCCCGAATCTCCCGCTGTCCTGCAGATACCCACACTAGTGAATGCTGCTTTCTCATTGGCTGTTGGTGATCGCCGATGTTATTTTCAATCAGAACTCATTTCACAAGGCTTGATTTTGAATCATCGACAGATCCAGATATTTAGCACGCCAAATATCTCATGGGTGTCGGCGACTCATCAGTAGGCCCACACGGAATCTGTGCGCGCAGAATTCCGCAGATTTTCCGCAGAATTCCGCAGATTTCTGCAGTTTCTTAGCTCATTATAAAATCTGTTTATTTACTTGAGTAAATGTGTAAATCGGAATTTATTCAGTTTTTATTCAGTAATTTATTACTTTTTATTTACTGTATTAAAGTGTAAGTTATGATACTTCGCTGATACTCCCAAAATAATTCCGCAGAAATCCGCAGATTTTTACCTAAATTCTCCGCAGAAATAGCAAAAAACGACCGCAGATTCCGTCTGGCCCTACTCATCAGCGATTCTCTCAGATCACGTCTTTGATAGTTCACACTGTGTGATTGTTACTCACATAAACGAGCACCGATTTGCCTGTGATTTCTCGAAACCTGTCGGCGAGTCGAAATCAGGGCTAAAATCATGCAGTCTGAACTCGGCATGACACAAACTTACGATCTAACAACTTGAAATGAATGAGTAAGCAACCTGTGTGAACCTGGATAAACAGCACAGCCAGTTGAGTGACCAAATACTCAATACCAAAAAGGCCTCTTATTGACACTTCCTTTTAACTTTCATCTCTGCCAATCCAATAACAAGTAGACAGGATAAATACAGGTGGAAAGAAGTCTCAGATAATGTCTTTTTGAACTTTAATCCACCTTCAGAGGTAGTCAAAAACATAATCAGTTGATTGTAGTGTACTTTAAACACTCATGCTGCCACGTCAATTTTAATAAATGTTCATACCAGGTGAAAACAGACAAAGTCAAATTTGAAATACCTCCTTATTTTATGTATTTAATTTGACAAACATTGATTACATATTTCTTAAGAGCTCTCTTATCACTATTTAGGGTTAGCATTGACTGGCTTCCAATGCCAAATGTTTTAGATATCAGTAAACACACACTTACTGCTCTTGCTTTTTTTTTTTTCTGACCGATTGCATTTCTGAATGTAAATGCAATGCAGTTTTGCATGTCGACAGCATTAACCTTTGTCCCTTGCATGTGCACGGCCTCATATTTACATCGGTCTTCTCTGTTTACAGGGGGTTTCTCCCATCACCATCACGGAGACTTTAAGTGCTAGTAGCCCAGACGTCAATAGCCTCCACCCTGGAGATCTATTTGACATTGAGCTGTCTAAAATAGACAGCAGTCTGGGCATTAGTGTCACGGTACTGTTTGGAAAGGTTTCCGCTCTTTGTTTTTCTTCTTTATTCCTCTTTTACTTACTTTTTGTGTGTGTGTGTGTGTGTTGTTTTTGTGCCCTTAGCCGTCGCTCCTTTTTGAAGCTCCTCGCTTGGCTTCAGTTTTGGGAAAGTAGATTTGACTCTTTGCATGCAGATTTTTTCAGGCATTTGAGTTGGCTCCTTCACTAACGGTAAAAGCCAAACACAGTAGGTAAAGACGAGTGCAGATGCACGCACAGATGCAGATGAATTGTGTTTTTAAAAGGGATAGTTCACCCAAAATCAAAAAGTCCTTGTTAATTTGCTTACCCACACCTCATACAAGATGTAGTTTTTTGTTCTTCCGTAGAACATTGAAGAAGATTTTTAGCTGAACTTGCTGTTTTTTGGATTAATATAATGGCACTGAATGGTGACAAGTTTTTGAGATTAAAAATAAATATACAAACTAAAATGAGTCCAAATCAATAGCCGTGCACGGAAAAAATGCTTTTTTGTCTTGTTTCTAGTCCAAATATTTCAAAGTTCTTATATCAAGTAACATTTTTTTGGCAAGCAAAACATATAGTCTTGTTTTCAGAAATAATATGCCAATATTAAATAAGTTTTTCCTTAAAACAAGCAAAATAATCTTCCATTGGGGTCAGCAAAATAATCTTGTTTTTCCTTTTGACATAAGATTATTTTGCTTACCCCATTGGAAGATTATTTAACTTGTTTTAAGGAAAAACTCACTTAATTTTGGCATTTTATATCTTAAAACAAGACAGTATGTTTTGCTTGTCTAGAAAATTCCATATAAAAAAATTCTAATATCTAATATTCTATAATATATCTAAAATATCTTATATCTCATATTCTATAAAAAATAAAATATCTAAGTTTTTAGATACTTGGACTAGAAACTCTAATTACAAATTAAACTAAAATCTAAGTACAAGTGCAGTGTGGCTCCTGATGATACACTATGGTCTTCTGGAGTGGAATGATTAGCCTGTGTAAGAAATTGAACATCGTTTATTATTAGTGTTAATCCCAAAAAATCTTAAATTAAGAATCAGTTTTAGACAAGCAGAACATTGTTTTAAGACAGTTTTTCCTTAAAACAAGCAAAGTGGTCTGTCGAATGGGCGAGCTAAATAATCTTATGTCAAAAGGTTATATTAGCTTGTTTTGAGGAAAAACTCCCTTTACAATACTAACATTTAAAATTAACATTTTATTTATTAAAATAATCTATAGAAAATTTATAGAACATGTAGAATTTTTTTCTTGATTATTAGAAATTTTAGATATTTGGACTAGAAACAAGACAAAAAAAAAATCCTGTTACTTTAGGCTGCTTTTTAAATTTTTTTGATTTTTTATTTTTTTTAAAGCATTTTCTAGACAACCAAAACATGTCAATGGGGTAAACTAAATAATCTTATGTCAAAAGGAAAAGCAAGATTATTTTGCTGACCCCATTGGCAGATTATTTTGCTTGTTTTGAGGAAAAACTTATTTTATAAAATAATCTGTCTTTTTTACTTGTTTACAAAATACATGTCTTAAAATTTGTAGATGTTTGGACTAGAAACAACACAAAAAATCTAAGAAAGCTATCCAGCGGCTAGTTCTCTACAACTCTCACATAGTCACCCACTAAAGCTAAAGGCTGATTTATACTTCTGCGTCAAGCGCACACGGATGGTCAAGTCGCATACCCCTCGTCGTGGCTGACACAGATGCTGATGTGCACCTCTCAAAAATTGCAACTGTACATCGCAATGACGCATAGCGCAAGCTCTGTGATTGGTCGGCTTGGTAAAAAAATGCTTTGGTGAACACGCAACCTTAATGATGAAAGCATGAGGGAGCGCGATTGGACTGGAGGTCAGGTGATGCAGTTTGTTGATAGGTGTATTGGTAATTGCGTAATTTGTACGCAACACATTCGTCATTTAAATCGACCGGGCAACATTCACACATGTGCAGATAAATGTTTGACCAGGCTCTGGAATAATAAAATTGTAAATAATGTTCAGTTTCTTACATGGACTAATCGTTTAAATTCACAAGACCTCAGTGTGCCATCAGGAACCAAGGGGATTGATTTGGACTGTTTTGTATGTGTTTATTTTTAATCGAAAATCACCATTCACTGCTGTTATATGAATCACAAAGGACCCCAAATTAATCTACAAATCTTCCCTAATGTTCTACTGAAAAATAAAAAGCCGTCTACATGTTTGATGACCTGTGGATGAGTAAATTAACAGGATATTTAAATTTCTGGGTGAACTACCCCTTTAATGGAGAAGCACTAATGCCTGCATGGATTTGCATTTACTTGTCTGCGGTGTGATTTTGCAGTGAAGCTTTCCTGAGATTTATTAGCTTGTGGCTTTTTTTATTTTGTGATTTAATAGTTTTTTTTAAATGTCAGTGTTTTAAAAATACTGTAGTGAAATGCATTAATCAAGTCTAGAAATCAGGTGGTTTGCTCTTTATGTTTGTAAGGATGGGGGTCGCTGCTTTTTTTTTTAGATGGTTTAATCCAGAGAATGCATCTATGATTTAGATATATTAAAATGAGAATGTCCAGTTGATTTAACGCACATCCAAAACAGATTATTAGCAGGTTTTCTTCCGATGATGCTGTTCTCTGTAGGTATATTAACTTGTTTTTTCTGTCTTAGGGTGGATCAAACACATCGTTGAAGCATGGAGGGATTTACGTTAAAGGAGTCATTCCTAAAGGAGCTGCTGAGCAGGATGGGAGGATAAAGAAAGGTGAAAAGTTCATTAGAACTGCTAAAAACAATATGGACCCTTTACACAAGACCTTTATGATGCCTTTAACAGTCATTTTAATCTTAAATCTTTGAAAGTTTTTAATATTTATGTTTTTAAAGATAATGTATGAACATTTGTATGTATTTATGTATGTATTATATAATCTTTGCATCAAATTACATAAAATTAAATTACCACTATGTCTATGGGGGTGGACAGTCATTTTTAGTTTTTTTGTTTTTGTGCAGTCTACTAAAAATACCACTTTTTCATTAATTTACACATTTTTTCTTTTTAACAATAACTAAGGGTAAGCAAGAACATTCAAAAACCCTCAGTCCCCCCATCCCACCCCCAAGGAGGAGAATAAAAAAAAAACACACAACAACAACATTAGCACATACAAGAATTGTCAAAGCAACTGAATCAATATATATATATATATATATATATATATATATATATATATATATATATATATATATATATATATATATATATAATATGAATAACACACATTAAAAAAAATAAATAAATAAAAATAAATAAATAGATCTTATAAATCAGCGAAGAGGTGTTTTGTATTCCTGACAAAATTAATTTGAGTTTAATATAGTTTTTCAGCGGAACCTCTTAATGTAAAGTTAATTTTTTCAGTGTATAGAAAAGACATCAAATCTTCTAACCATGAGACCGGTTTAGAAGACTTCCAATGTATTAAAATCTGTCTTTGGGCTGTCAGTGACGCAAAGGCTAGAACATTAGCATTCTTATTTGAAAGGTTGTCCAACAGAGCCGATACACCAAAAATAGCTATCAAAGAGCATGGTTCAAAAGAAGTTTCGAAAATTGTGGAAAAAGTATCAACGAAAGAACTCCAAAAATTTTCCAACTTTGGACAAGAATAAAACCTGTGGGTATGATCACTAGTAGCCAGAGAGCACCTATTACAATAAACATCCACGCCTGGGAATAACTTAATTTGACATTCATTTGGTCAATTCTATGGAGAACCTTAAATTGAATTAGACTCAGTCTGGCGCAGGAAGAAGAGGAATTAACCCTCTCAGCAGCCATTTCCCACCATTTCTGATCTAAATCATGTCCAAGTTCTTTCTCCCATTGATGCTTAAACTAAGAAAGAGAGGGCAAAGTATAGGGAAGAATCATGTTGTATAAACTTGATATAGAGCTGTGACTCTGAATTAAGCACCTCTCATATAAAGAAGGCTCTGATAGGTTAGGAAATGAAAGTGGTCAGTAAATTTGATGTTATTTTTTCCTCTGGCTGCCATCATCAGTCTCACACTATTTATTTCCTTTTTCTGAAAGTCTTAATAACACCATTGAGGTGTTTTTCTTTTATTATTTCAGCAAATAGGATTGTAAAAAAATGATTTGTTGTACTCTCCCTGCACTCTTAAGTCTACCTAACTATGATGACTACTGCTGCTGAGAAACCCAGAAATGTGAAAAGTATCTATAGAGTTGAATATATAATATAATACAATATATTGCGTAATATTGATATCCTACATCTCTACATAGGACAAATAGTTTGAATATTATAGTAAATCTATGTAGAGATCCAGTGTTCTGCATAAATGATTACACCCCTCACAGATCTCTCATTTAAATGAATACTTTCCAAAGGATGCTATGAAATAAGATAGTTGTATGTATACATTACATTAGACTGACAGTACTAAAGCTAAAACTGGAACTAATTGAATAACTAATCAAATAACTTAAGATTGCGGTACAAAAATTTGTACACCTCAATAAATATCATAAGGAAAGATATTACATGAAATGTTTCCAAAGCAGAAAAATCAAGAAAACCATGAAAAACATAACATTTAATCTTAAATTTTAAATTGAGTTAATTTAGTTAATTTAAATCGCATTTGAATTTAGATGTATTTTCATTCTATTCCTAAAGATGTTACGTGATCAAACTTCTATTTTACAGAATATAACTGTGTAACCAAACTGTTTTGTTTAGATGTTTGTTTAGACCAAAACATGTATAATAAATAATTTTAAATTGTCTTGATTAACTGAGAAATTGATGAAATATTCGTTTTCAAACTGAGTGTATTCATTTACTGTATGCTGAGCATTGTACATAGTGATAGTTATTTATAACTATTATCATCATTAATTATTTTAATTATAATAATAGCAACCTGGACATTTCTTTTTCACAAGACTTTTAGCAAGACTATATGTTTTTTAATTGATTGGTTGTGTCCTACAGGGGATCGTGTGGTAGCTGTGAACGGGAAGAGCCTTGAAGGAGCGACTCACAAACAGGCAGTAGAGATGCTGCGAGACACCGGCCAGGTGAGAACACAGGAGACAATACTGCACTACATCCAGAACAACTTTCAGGCTTTTAATTTTATATATATATATATATACATTTGAAGTCAGAATTATTAGTGCCCCTGTTTATTTTTTCCCCAATTTCTGTTTAATGGAGGGAAGACTGTTTCAGCACATTTCTAAGCATAATAGTTTTAAAAACTTATTTCTAATAACTGATTTATTTTAGAATTGCCCTCATGACAGTAAATAATATTTGACTAGATATTTTTTAAGACACTTCTATATAGATTACAGTGACATTTAAAGGCTTAACTAGGTTAATCAGGTTAACTAGGCAGGTTAGGGTAATTAGGCAAGTTATTTTATAATGATGGTTTATAGGGATGTAACGGTATTGTAAATACCGTCATACCGCAATATTAATTTTTTTCGATATTACCGAAGTCGCATGACTCGGTAAAACTATAGGTCTTCTGAGAAAATTTGCTCAGGCGAATGAAGCGAACGGGAGGTAGCGAAAACTACAATTCCCATCATCCCTTGCGGTCTGTTGTCGCTACAGATCCAGTAATGCGGAAATGGAGTGTGCTGCTAGAAGCGGGGATCAAAAAGAGCTGTAAAACTCTAAGGCCCCGTTTACACTAGTGCGTTTTAGTTTTAAAACGGCATTGTAGAATAAAAACGATCCGCGTCCACACTCGCGTTTTACCCAGCGTTTCTGAACAGCTCTCCGTCCACACCAAAACGCTGAAAACGCACATCACGTGACCACAGACACTCTCGGGCAAGCGCTTCAGCATTTTTACCCAGATGAGAGCTCTGCTTGTCGGACTGCTCATCAAGCATCTCCCGCTGGATCTAATCTCACTATATTTGCTAAACGTGATATTTCATTCATTTTGTTGTCTTTATCTAATGACATAGGCCAATTCCCTGACTTTGGTCATTGGAATCTATTAAGTTACTTGTTCACGGGTAACATGTTTTAGTTAAGCGCAAAGATAAGTTAATGATTAATCCAGGTACATTGACTGATCGCTTGCCTTTATTTCCTACAATGTATAAACTTATTGTATGTTATACTTTTATAATTTTCGATTATTAAAACTGATATTCAGCAAAAGAGAGGGTGCGTTTCGTATTTTCACTGAAATTGAAAGGAGGTAGTTGTTATCAGCTCCGTTTTGTTATAAATATCCACACAGTGAAGATGACGCTCATATATGCAGCACAGCGCCTCAACATTTCTGCTGTCTGTTAAGTTTTCTAATATTAAAAAGAAAATAGGCAGTTCCTTAAATCATGTTTACATTTTATTGTTGAGAAAGTGAAACAACGTAGCCAAGGTGATGTGAATGAAGTTATAAAGTACACTGTTCCCTTTGAAGATTTACGCGTGTCCTCGGTCTGTTTTCCATATCAAACTGAGAAGGGGGAGACTGCAGCCTTGATCAAACTTGCGAAGTCTTAACTTACAAGAAGAGGATGCGAGACTGAACTGTGTGTGGGCTACTTAATATTAAGGGAAAAGCCCCAATCAGATAGGCGAACGTTTGCAGCCCCGCCTACGTTTTCAGATGTCTCCGTCTTTCCCCATCCACACTGAGACGGAGCAGCAGTGTTTCAGAATGAAAACGGCCTCTCCAGCGTTTTCGAAACGCTCCGTTTTCGGCGCTCGAGAAATAAGTCATATAAGTCATATCTCTCTTGTCCCAGAAACATCTGTCCCAAATGAGAGGGTTTTTTTTCTGTTGCAGGGGACATTGTAAATGCCCAGAGATACCAGCTTTTACCAGATTATATTTATATGATAATTTTCCTTTAAACCCATCTCTATCTAAGTGAGTGAGTGATTAAATGTTGAATGTGATGAGTTTTCAACAATACTAAATTAAAAACTTTATTTTTTTTTTACATGGTTTAATATTTTTTTTGTTATTAAAATTGAAGTTCCTGTTTCAAAGCTTACAGATAGATGGCTAATTTGTATGTCATTGACACTTTTGGCACTTTTTTGGAGTATTTTCATAAGTTTTGTTTTTTCCTGTAAATGATTCAATAAATACCGTACCGTGACATTGATACCGAGGTATTACCGTACCGTGAAATTCTGATACCGTTACATCCCTAATGGTTTAGACTATCGAAAAAAATATATAGCTTAAAAGTGCTAATAATTTTGACTCAAAAATGTAATTCTCAAGAAGAAAAAAAATATTATCAGACATACTGTGAAAATTTCCTTGCTCTGATACACATAATTGGGAATTATTTAAAAAAGAAAAAAAAAACAAGAGGGGCTAATAATATTAATAATAATAATAATAATTATTATAGTTATTATTATTATTATTATTATTATTATATATATATATATATATATATATATATATATATATATATATATATATATATATATATATATATATATGTGTGTGTATTTTACAAACATATGTATACACGGACGGACGGACAGACAGATAGATAGATTTATTCATTCATTTATTCCAATTGTCAGGTGGTGCATCTGTTGATGGAGAGAGGTCAGCCACCAAAAGACAGCATTCATGCTCCTCTCACTCCTCAAGGCACTTCAGAACCTCAGAACAAAACAGTGGAGGAGCCGTCAGCACCAGAAAAAGAGTACAACTTCATTACTGCAGGTATGAGCTGGAATATGCACCAACAAAGAAATGGAAATGCCATGATGCACATAATAGCTTAAAGGTCCCTTGAAGTGCTTTGAAATGTGCATTTTTTTATTCTATGTTTTAAGAGGCAAAAATTAAGAGAGGGTGGGACAAAGTAGCTCCTCCTATTTAAAAAAAAAAAAACAGCCAATATTTTTTTGTTTTTATCACAGCTCTACCAGTGAGAGTGGTTGAGCTCAAGCGCATCAAATTAAAAAAGCAAATGAGATGTGTCTTGAACGGAATGGGAAATATCAGTTACTAGAGAACTTTTGATTGGTTAGAAGATCTTTTGAGAGGTATGAGGTGACGAGAAAAAAAAAATCATTGATCCATTTGGGTGGAAGTGACAAACTGTCAGCTTTGGATGTTTATATCAGGTTTATATTTTAGAAATTCAAATTTTGTCATTGTTTTGGAACACACTAGCTTATAGATATCTTTAAGATGAACATACTGATACTAACATCTAATAAACGTTAATTTCACTGGACTTTTAAAAATGTGTTGTAAAAGAAAAAAAAGATCCCATTTAACAGCACTTGAGAAATATTTGAATTCAAATTGAACAAGGTTATTAATTTTGTCTGTATAATAAATATTGGAGATCCCTACCAGAAAGTATAAATATGTTTACCTTAACACATGGTGTGAAATAAGTGATTATTTCCAAATTATTTATTCCATTTTATTTATTTTATTTAGTTTTTCATAAGAGAAGTAACACTGATAAACACAGCTGACCTCTCACTTGTTGACTGCCAAATGAAATGTGCTAAAGGTACCGCAGAGGTGAACCGTGGGCTGGCATTTGAACTTTGGAAGAGTAAATGGGCATTTCTGTTGTTTACCTGGTCTAGATAACACGTTTGATGTGGCTTTACTGAAGAACACGTCCGGCCTGGGCTTCAGCTTCAGCCGCGAGGAAATCATTCCCGGAGAGCCTCTGGGCTCCAGTATGGTCCGTGTCAAGAAGCTCTTTCCAGGCCAACCAGCAGCTGAAAGCGGACGCATCAAAGTAGGCGACGTCATTCTGAGGGTCAACCAGACGCCACTCAAGGGCCTGTCCCAACATGTACGTAGATATAAATGTGCTGAGATTCAGTAATTCAATATATCCTGATAATGAACATGAGCAATATTGATTACATGGCCTCTTTAAAATATTGTGAATAATTATTTATTATCTTAAACAGTTTTTTAAGAATATTTAGATTGTTGTGTTTCAGCTTGAAGACTTTCACACAAACAGTTTCATGTTATTGAACATCCTGTAACTTCTTATAGGCCTGGTTTATTAATCTCTACAGTAAGGTTTCATTTGTTAACATCAGTTAATTTAACAAATTTAAGTCAATTTTATGACAAAAAAAATAAATAAATAAATAAAATATATATATATATATATATATATATATATATATATATATATGTGTATGTATATGTATGTATGTATATGTGTGTGTGTGAGTGTGTGTGTGTGTGTATATACACACACACACACATATTTATATAAATATTTTATATATATATATATATATATATATATATATATATATATATATATATATATATATATATATAAATTATGATTATATATTTTTATATATATATATTTTATGATTATATATATATAATAATCTTCTGTAATGTTAATTTCTTCATTAAAGTTGTAATCATTTATTAAAATGATTTGATAATAAAATTATGTTGTATTTTTAGTTAACTATAGCTTATAACTATAATACACTTTTTTCACTGCTGATTTTGACGCATTAACTGATATTTACTATTGAGACTTTTTTATAATGCTACCTATTGTACTTTAGCATCCTTTTGCTATTTAATTAGTTGCATTTTTATATTCACTGAGAAAAATACGTGTATTTATTAGTACTGTCAAACGATTAATCGCATCCAAGACAAAAGTTTCTAAAATAGATGTTTTTAAATATATTATTACATTAAGATGTACTTGTGTTTACTAACTGTTTATTCAGTTAAACACAAATTTTGAACTTTAGGCCTACATAAGCTCCAAACAGATTTTTGATTACCTTAATGAAACTAAAGTTATAACTGAACTGGTCACACTTTACAATAAAGTTCATTAGTTAATGTTAATTAATGCTAATTTATTTACTAACATGAACAAACAATGAACAATACATCTACTACAGTATTTGTTCATGTGAGTTACTGTTAGTTAATGAAAATACAGTAGTTCATTGTTAGTTCATGTTAACTCAGGGTGCATTAACTAATGTTAACAAGCATGGACTTGAATGTCAAGAATGCATTAGTAAATGTTCAATTATGATTAATAAATGCTGTACATGTGTTGTTCATGATTAGTTCATGTTAGTAAATGCAATAACTAATGAACCTTATTGTAAAGTGTTACCAATGAACTAAACAGAAATGGAATTAAGACATGTGGAGTGTGCAGATATTAGTGACATTATTGTGGTAAACACCACAATCAAACTATTACCGTCATTTAGGACTTTTCGCCATATTTTCGCAAGATGCAAAGTTTTTTTCTTTCCATTTGGTGTGTGTTATTAAATTCCATAACACTCTCACCAGTCCTTACTCCTTATTTGCATCTAATACCCCAGTTTGTTATAAGGGCATGATTTATATGTTCATGAGTGAAGGTGAAACTGCCGAACTGCAGTTAAAGTCAGCCAAAATTACAGCAAACTCTTACATGAAAGCACTTCACGTAAACACCTTAATTATATTATTGTCTATCAAGGCAAATAACTAGATTACAGATGTCCATGTAAGCGTAGTCAGTAGTGTCTTTGAAGTACAGTAAGTAAATCAGAAGGGCACCTTTTTTTGTCAGACGGCTCACCGGTCAGGTATACATCTGTGCTAAAATATCAACGCCAATAACGGCCCACCACTAATATTTATATATAATTTGTATACATCTTTATGCATCATAGCCATGACTATATTTACACAAAGATATACACAGTACATACCTGTTTCTTTATTAAATGTGATCTTTTATATTGGATGGGATTAATTGGTTTGACAGCACTAGTAGTTCTATATAAATACATACACACATCGTATAATATCAGTAATGTAGCTTAGTCTGCTTTATTCAGCCAGTTTTGTTTCTGTCAGCTTTGAACCATGTATACTCCATTAGTTGCAACAAAAAAATTACAACTGTCAGAAGCCTACATGTGTATTAATGAAGAGAATTTGCAGATGTTGTTTAAAGAGTGTTTGTTTTGTTTGTCAGGAGGTGATTTCGGCTCTGCGGGGAACAGGACAGGAGGTCACCCTTCACTTGTGTAGACCTGAACAGGGCATTTTACCTGAGATGGACACTGCTATTACTGTAAGACTTGTTGTTTTCGGCTTACTGAAGCCTCTACATCATGTTTTTATTACTGAAGGAATATTGTGCTGTGTTTTTTTCAGTTATTTAATTATTATTTTATTTTATTTATTTGGAGTTTTACAGAGTTCAACTTATATGCAGATTAATTTTCAATCCTGTTTTATTTTGGTGATTTCGTATTATTTACTTTGGTTTTAATATTTGAGTATTTTATTTGTGCTACTGAATTTTAATATTTGTTGTGTGCCTTTTGTTGCATTTTTTAAATTTTATTTTCTGAATTTTATTTTGAACTTTTTAAAAAAAAATTTATTTAGTTTTGGCTGTCCTTTGTTTTCAGTCAGTTTAATTTAGTTTAATAATTTTTACTCATTTAGTTTTTGCCCTTTTAATAAGTCTTGTTTTATTCATACATTTTATTTCTTTATTTTATTGCCCCTTTATTTTAGAGTATTTGATTATTGTAGTTTTTAGTTATTTTGTTGTTGTTTTAGTTTAGACTACTCATTTAGTTTTATATTTAGATTTGTCTTTATATATAGATTCCCCCCTTTTTTGAGTCTTGTTTATTTTAAATGGTTTTATTTATTATTATTATTATTATTATTATTATTATTTTATCTTACGTTGTTTATATGCAGATTTATTTTGCATCCTGTTTTTTTAGATGATTTCTTATTTATTTTTGTTTTATTTTTGAGTATATTAATTTGTGTGTTAGTGAATTTAATTTTGTTTGTTTTTTGTTGTATTTTAAATGTTTTATTTCATTTTCCGAATTTCATTTTTAACATTTTTAAAAATTTTTTCTGTTACATTTAATAATTTTACTCAAGTTTACTCAATTTTTTCTTTTTTTTTTTTTTTTTTTGAGTTTTAAGCTTCATATTATTCATATTAGACTATATTCGTTTAGTTTTAGATTTGTTTTGTCTTTATATTTTAATGTTCCCTCTTTATTGAGTCCTGTTAATTTATAAATGGTTATTTTATTTTATTTTTGTTCTAAAGTTCTAATTTAGCTCTTAATTAACTCTATCAGCAGCTACCTTTGCTTCCACTAAACCCAAAACCTCTACTGTGTCCAGACACCCGTCCCATCTCCACGAAAGCAGGCCCATCTGCAGCCCCAGGCCTCCCCCAGGACGAGCTCCTCTCCTCAGGAGTCTCAGCGGTTGCTGGGTCCTGTGGAGGAGGCTCTGGAGCGTCTGCTGCTCAAATCTCCCAGCCGCAGGGACAGTTACAGCGATAGCACCGATAATGATGAACTCGAGGAAGCTTTCAGAGCTGCAAACCTGGAGCGAGACAGCAGCGCCTACCAGACACCCGCAGAGAGAGTCTCTTATGAGGACGAGATGGACGACACTGTACAGTCAGCTTATTATTCATCCAGACAGTCCATGGCCAGATCTGAAGACAGCAGGAGGTCAGATGTTGTTCTTGAAGCATAGTACAATACAATTAAATTGTGGTGTAAGCGAACAGTTCGGATCACACTATGGTTTTTGAATCACTGATTGGACTATTTTTTGAATCAGCAAAAAAGGGAGACAAATGTCATTTGCTTTCCATTTTTTACAAAAACATTACTGCAAGAAACTTTTGTTGTTGTTTTTTTAACAAAGAGAACTTAGAACCTGTTATTTTATTTAAAAAAAATAAATCAAGAAAGAACTAGCTGAATATAAAAAAGTAAAATATTCAGTACTTTGATAAATGACCTTTGTGTATAAATCTAAGATTATAATCTTGTACAACACATCATATGTATTTTTTAACTCATTTTAAATATTGATTCAATAACTCGCTTATAAAACTGCATGTTTCATCACTAGTAGATGTATTATTTTTGAAGAATTATTCAGTGACATATTTTTGATGCTTGTTTGTCGCCACCTATTGGTTAAACAATGTAATTGCTACAACTTTGAACAGCATCAAGTTGCATTAAACCACAGGTGTCAAAGTCAGTTCCTGGAGGGCTGCTGCTCTGCACAGTTTAGTTCCAACCCTACTTTAACACTCTTAAATTGCAGCCACACTAGAGTTTGAGCGTACGAAATTCTATCGTACGGCACTACAAAAAGGGGCAGGAGTAAACAAAATAATTAGACGTTAATAAAAGCGAGCTATTGCTCCATGTTTTAAATATCTGTCCAGAGAGGTCATGTTTTGATCCTCGATTGGTCTCACGAAGTCAAGTGATGCGATTTCGCAGGTCAGAGTTCAACAAGCTTGAATTTTCCAACGCAACAATCTGCTAAACTTAATACACGAGCTTGCGTTTCGGGTCTGACGAATTCACATGCGTATGAATGGAAGTCTATGGGGAGAAAAGTCCAGTGCGTCCGCAGCTTTACCTGTAGGTTTCAAACAAGCCTAAAGGACTCAATTACTCAATTAGTTTAATTAGGGTTGGAACTAAACAGGGCAGAGCTGTGACCCTACATGAACTGGCTTTGACACCTGTGCATTAAAGAGTGATTTTAATCTTTACCTTAAAACATCAGTGTTTATATCAGAACTATAAACTGTTTTCCCAATACGGCTGTGTTATTTGATTGCTTGTAACTAACTGAAAACCTCTAACTAACCTCTAACTAAACCTCTTTCTCAATCAAACGCAGATTTGAATGCAGTGCATCAAAGGATTAATAAACAAATTCAAATCTTTATCAATTATAATTCATGTTGTGCGAGTTTAAATTAAGATGCTAATCTTGTAATGTTTAATTGTGCTGGATTACACTTAATGCATTAATGCAGGTCAAACAAGTAGTGGCAGAAAGCACATTTTATTTTAAGCCACAATGTTTTCATACATGTGATTTGAATGACACTGGGGTGATCTCTCTGTGATTGTTTAGGATTAATCTACAAGTAAAAAAAATAAAAATATAAATTAGTTATTCATCTATAGATCACTTGTCTTCCGAATCATGTGTTGTGGATCACGAGTCAACCTGGATCCGCTACACCCCTACAGTAAATATCATAAAAATGTATAGAACTCAAAGCAAAATAAAAGAAGTAATGTAATAAAATATAAAAAATAACATAATAACTGGATTGCATAAAAGTATGTAAAATAATAAACAAACAAAAAACAAATAGATTCTAAATAAGCATAATGCAAGAATAATCTCAAAGTTAAATATCAATTATTTTGAAGACTTGACAATAAAAAGTCTGAATAAAACTAAACAAAATATTCAGAAATCTTCAAAAAAATTTAATAAAAAAGACAAAAGTAAAAAAGTGAAACCAAATGAAATGTTCAAAATAAAATAATAAAACTTATAAAAGAGCAAAAGTCTAAGCCTAAATACTCACTGACAAAATGTAATAGATGATTACAAATGGAAATCATGCTATCAAAATAAAATGTAAAATCCAAAAATAAACAGAATCTAAATACCAAATTCATTACTAACTAACATACTAAATAACTATAATAAAATTATACTATACTATAAAATAAATTAATGCTTAATTAATATTTCAAATATTTATGTGCTTGCATATAGTAGGATTTAAGTAGCACATGAGTAGGAATGTTTAAGCACATGTATTAATGTTTGGCTTTGTCAGCATACATTAGTGTATTTTGAATGTAACTAAAGACTGCTCTTGCATCAGCATAGGTGTGTGAGTGTGTGTGTGTGTTTGTGTGCAGGTTATTGAGTTCAGGTGTGACTGAACTGATTTTGTGAGTTTCACATCATGTGACTGTCTGTGTTATACAACACTGAGAAACGTTGCTTTCTGACAGAGATCGAGATCTGCATATGACTGAACATTGCTGTAATATTCTCTTTGAGTAGAAATACTGTAATTCAGTGACAGCAGCAGGGCAGTTTTAAGAACTTTTAGTCAGTTTTTTTTTTATTCTTAGTTTACTGTAAATTTTACTTTATTTGTATTTTTTTAACGTTAGTTTTACTCTCAATCGTCAGCTTTTCTATCTTATCTTTTTCAATTTTTCAGTGTCAATCTCAAAGCTTTAATTAAAATGTATTTTATTTTAATTTCACTCAACATATTTTGTCACATTTTATTTTACATATATTTTTATTTAACACAAGGCGTTTTTTCACATTTATTTCATTGGTTGTAAATGTGAACTCAGAGCTATTTTTCAATTTAATATACAATTTAAAGTGTTTTATAAAACATGTGGATTGTTTTTATAATTATTTCAATTTAATATAATTTAATATAATTTTTAAATCAATTAGTTTTTATTTTTCTTTTATGTATAATTTATTTTGAATATAAATACATTTAACATTTAAAATCTTTGTTGTTGTTTAAAATGTGGTTCTTCAACTTTATTTGTTAATGTTTTTATTTTTAATTGAACTGTTTGTTCACAGAATTCTGATTATATTTTTTATTACGACTTTATTTGGTTTAATTATGCCGTTTTATTAGACATATTTTACAGTTTTATATATATATAAGTACACCCCTCACTAATCTATATTTAAAATTCATATTTTTAATAGGAAGCTATACAATATTATATTTTTGCATAAACAGGTACATTAGTTGAGTCAGTACTAAAGCCAAATCTGGAACTAATCTAGCAAAAAAACAATAACGGTCCATAACTAGTGCATCCAAATTTATATGTTATAGAAAAATGTTAAATACAAATTTAAAAAAAAGGAAAAACTCAAGGGAAGCTAAAAAACTTGTAGGTTGTAATTTACTTTGCAATATTTAGCTTGAATTTAATTGTATTATCTTTTAATTTCTAAATATGTTTGGTGACTTAAATATTTTTTAATAAATATATCTGTTTAATAAATCTGTTTTGTTTAAATGCACCAAAATACATTGCCTATATTCACTGAGAAATGGATAAAAATATTCATTTTCAAAATGGGGTGTACATAATTATGCTGAGCAATGTATATTGCAAAATATGTTTATGTTAACAATCCTAATTTTGTGTCTGCGTGTCCTCCATGTTTCTGCAGTGATGTGAACAGCTCTAGCATTCGCATATCTGCTTCTCCAGCTCTTCCTGAAGGGGATCTCCTGAACCCCAGTCCAGACCCTCTTCCACCACCTTTGCCAAACCCAGTGAACCTCAGTCTGCCTGAACATGAGGACCTCATCCCTGTGAGTCTCTTTCAGCTCACTCATCTGCTCTGGACAATTTAGTTTATTTGTTATCAAGTATTCCAGACAGCAGTGGTATACGTTAGGGATAAAGTACATCTAGGAGGTTGTTATAACAGGATAAAGCCAAACACGAAGCAGAGCACTGTTGTATAGGACCAACGGGTTTTATTCTGCAATAACAACCGCCTGGATGTACTTTATACTGATTATTAAGCAGTTCCTTGCAACAAAATATATCAATTCAATACAAAGCATTGTTCTGGGCCTAATATTTTGTTAACTGTTTGATTAAACGCAAAGATGACTAAAACTGTTGAATGGAGCATGTACTAACCTACATACAGTAGGTGAGAGTTCAAAGTGGCTATTAACGCCGCGGCTGGTACCGCCGCCGTTTGAAATAGGTGCCGCTCTGTTTTTAGTGTATGACCGCAGTTTGTGAATGAGCCGCCAGGGGGCGCAAAGGGACGGGATGCGAACGGACAGAAATAGCCCATACAGCTACTGTGCTTGTAAATGATATTAAACAATAAGTCAAAGCATTATAATTCCTTCATTAATCATTTAAAATTTGTTAACACGCTTTATTGTAAACTTTTTAAGTGCAAAGAGGATTCGTTTTGGAAAATAGAATTGAAGAAGTAAAAGACAACTAAAATGAAAGCACAAACATTTAGTACAAATAAGTAGTCTTAAATAAATAAATAAATAAATAAATAAATAAATAAATAAATAAAGCAGCCTAAATATAGAAAGATGTTCAGTGTTTGCTATTTTGATAGGACTAAGACAAGACATTTTCATTTATGTTTTATTTCTGTTTTTATTTCCATTTTCGTTGTTGATTATATTTTACTATCTCATTTTATGTCTCAACAATTATAGATAATAATAAACGAATAATGAAAATTAATGAATAATGAAAATAGGCCTAGATATATTATTTATTTAAAGACATTGCCGACATTGAGCTTAAGTTGAATGCAGCTTCATCAAAAGCAGAAAAAAATAAAATAATTTGACCTATTTTAAGCAGATTATAATAAAAATATTTTTGCCGCAGGACATAAATTAAGTCTAGCAGGTTTGTTTTTTTAATACTTTAGTTTCAGTTCAGTTTTTTTTTTTCAAAACGTCAATGTTCTCCTTTAAAGTAGCTATAACTGTTGTTTTGTTTTGTTTTTTTTACTTAATGGCTCAGTATGTTTTGTATTTGAATTTGACGCGTCAGAAAAAAAACCGCTGAATCTCTGCAAATATTTGGTTAACTTATAAAACAAATGTATGGTTTAGTGATGTTAGTAATGCATAGAAAAATGCAAAGCAGAATTATTAAAGTTATTATTTCATTGATCTGAACATAACCATTTATAATATAATTACTAACCCGTCGTCTAAAATATTAAAATAATAAAATAGTCTATTATTTTATTCATGGCTGGAGCTTGATTAAATTGATTAACAAGCCATGTGCTTTTGTTTGTTTGTTCTCGGTACTGGGTATACGCAAAACATTTTCTAAAATGTCAAGCAGTATTTGTCTATAGATCAGCATTTTGCTAATTATAATAGTCCTTTATATTTATATACATGTGTTTTTGCATATTCGTTATTTCACTTGATGCATTCCTTATTTAATGTTTGAATACTGAAATAAAAAGCCATCGTTTAAAAGGTTATTTCACCATCAAAATGTAGCCTGTTATATGTATCATTAACGTTTTATATAAAACTGCTGTGCAGTGTAAATGGGACCTTAATACAGTTTAAAGCGAAGTTGTCTGTAAGGATGATGGGCATGGCATGTCTATTGTTGTGGCTCGCGTTGTGAATATTAGAAAATAACTGTCGGGTGAAGGCTTTATGGTCGTGCGGAATTGTCTGCTGTTGTCATGGCTCAGCAGGCAACACCCTATTCAGCTAGGCTATGTTCGGTGTTTGTATGTACAAATTCGTTTTGGCGAATGCTAGAGCGTAATAGAGATATTTTAAATAACAAGTATAGTTCAGTCCAGAAGTTGCTGTGCATAGAAACATTCATTTTCATAAGGCCCCATTTGCGGTTTGGTTTTAAAACGCATAGGTTTTGCTATGGTTACGCCATCCGTCCTCGGGAGTTTTGGATTTTGTGTAACCATGTTTGTGGAAAACACTTGAGGGTGGAGACATACCCCTTCCCCCGTCTCATAACCAAAAGCTTGTCTTTCAGGTGTTAATGGGCATCGAGACCGAAGTCATGTCGCATTTCCACTGTCGGCCTATAGCTCGCAGCGCGTAACGCAAACCCAGCCCCCAGAACGTCCCCCGACTGTTGGCATCGTGCATCCGTTAATAACTCGGTAGAAAATGTATTTTATAATATCCTCATTTAGACACAGTCAAACATTCAGCCCAAATGCACTGGAGAGACCTGAAACGTGTTCCCAAAAATGCTCTGTTTGCACGATTTGATTATTATCATCATATCCAAATACTTTATAAATAATATTCTAAACCTTCTCTGGTGTTTATTGTTTTTAGAAAATATCTAAAATTTTTTTAAAGAAAATATCTTGTAAAATAAAAGTTTGATTTGGCTTTAACGGTTTTATTTATGTATAGGCCTACCTAAACTGTTATAGCTTGCTTTTGCTTGTTTTATATTGGTTTATTTATTTAATGCGATTTTATTATATCCGATAATGTAATTCTTTAAATTATATTTCAATGTGGCTTAGGCTTATCAAGATATGACACTTGTTTTGAGTCTACAAAAGGTAATTTGTAAAGTGATCAAAATCACTTATAAATTAAAATTGTATTATTCTATGCAACAGCCTTACATTTAAAACGGAAACATAAGGGCGATTATAAGCAAAAAGACCTCAGCGTATAAGTCTAGATGTTTTCTTTTCCTTTTTTATTTATTTGTTTATTTGTTTGGCGCATGTGTGCGATAGGAAAACTAGTGTAATTACGGCAAGCCATCTTTCCCAGACTCGGGGCAAATTCCTTTCACTCCGTCCCGAAGCCCCAGCTGGCCCTCCTGCCATCCACTGCGTAAAACATATGCTGGATAAGTTGACGGTTCATTCCGCTGTGGCGATCACAGACTAATAAAGGGACTAAACCGAAAAGAAAATGAATGAAGAATGAATGAATAAATTAATAATAATAAAATAAAAATAAGGTAATAATAAACACAAATGCCGCGTAAGCGGCCTTTTTTTAGAGATGGTACATTTGAATTGCCTCTTCCCACTTCCCCCACCTCGAAATTGAAAGTTGCAAAGAGAACTCAATAGCAAAGATCATAGCCCATTAACACATCAACACATAGTCCATTTACACATCAACACAGTGCAAGTTTAGCGGAAGAATGTCAAATCAGAATCACGCAGATGAAGCACACCAGCTACTATGAAACTATTAAAATTGTTTTGTCATAAATTTGCTTATTTGCAGCAGCTTTTTTTCGCGCAACAGAAATGCGACGTTGGGAAGCCGTCAATGAATAAAAACAGGGTCAATAGTGAAATCGGCTTTTCATTGTATCCCTATTACCTATATCAATGCATTGAAGGCCTTTTATGGTGTCATCTCGATAGAATAGCCTAAGTTATAAATAATTTAAAGAACAAAGTTATAAAAACTCACATTACATAAATAAACAATTAAAAATATGTTTAGGTTGTCTATTTAATTGCCCTCGTGATGATGGTGTGCTTTATCATTATGTGCGTTTTACTTATAACTAACCTGATTTAAATGATGGATCTGCGACAGAGAAACTAGGGGTTTTGGGGGACATGCATCACTATATCCTTTTTTTCCCCAAACTGTGCATAGTTCAGCTGCAAGTTACTGTACGTCTTTTTTTGGAAAAGCACCCCATGTCCGCCAGTGCCGCGCGCCTCTTTCTCTGGGCAAAAATGAGTTGATTTTTAAAATAATAAATATATAGATTGATTAAATTTTCAGCAAAAGAGACATTTATTTCATATTTCACTATGCATTTCATCTGATCTTTATAGCTTAATTAAACACATATTGTCAAAACCCACACATAGGCCTATTGTATGAAAATGAAAAGGGCATTTTTTGTTATTATTACACTACTATTTGTTATTTGTTGCCTAGGCTATTTTCACATTTGAGGTGCTTTATTGGCATGACAAGTAACTGTACATTCGTTTTGCCAAAGCAGTGCGCGTCTCACAAACAAGACAGTGCAAAAAGGGCAGTAGTGCAAACAAATATGAAAATAACATATAGGCTAATAAAAAAATGATTAATAAAAATAAAAATAGAATAAAAAATAAAAATATAATAATAAAAATAGATTTTTGATAACATTAAACAGGATAAAGGTAATAATAGTAGCCTATTATCAAAAGTAAGTCCACATAAAGAGTTCCAGTATTTGTGTGTTGGAGACAGGAGCGGGTATTGTTGGGTGAACACACAGCAGCACACACACTCCCCCAGTAAGATGGGTTCTGTTCGACAGGGACTCAAAGTTGTTTTGTATGTGTTGGATTATCGGGTAGAATTTCTCCCGGATCTCGGAGTATTTAGTGCACTCGGGATATGCAGCTCCATCTCAATCAGCTGCTGAGGGCACAGCCGCTTCTCCACCGGCAGCCATGTTTTTTTGTGCGGGCCCGTCTTTACGGCTAGCTGATGTCCGCTGCCCGCTTCTAACATGTTAGAAAATACTGCAAATCAAGCTGTCGGTATCTCCCCGCGGTTGAAATTGTTCGTTATTCCGAAAAAAAGAAGAATAAATATCAGCGCGCAGTAGTTGCTTTCTAGATTATTTAGGCCTATATTCAGCTGTTTTAATCTTGCAATTCTGATAATTAGAGATAATGTCTGTTCAACTTGTCTGTCATTTATTTCTCATTTGCTACTTATTTTATTAATTTGTTGATGTTAATATACATAGTCTTGTATATGCATATCTAAAATCCTTTGGCATTCAAATTTGCTTTGAACTTGAAAGAGAGAAAGAATCGGATTTTACCTGTCAGAGCACATTGCATATGCTTTTTTTGAAATAACATTTATTTTTACAAATATTTTAGCACATCGAAAGTAATTAAATTACCTGTCTTTTGATTAAAACCTTTATGCAAAAAGATCAGAAAAAAAGGCAATATGCGACACATGACATGCATCGCTCTCATGCCACGTTTTAAGGATAAATTCGCTTTTAGGTGCTGCTTTGAATAAAATAAAACTATTAAAAAGCACATTAAAGAATACTCATAAAATAAAACCTTCATAGAGGAGTATCTTATGAAAAAACACCAATTGACGGGCTCTGCTTTCGGTTTTAAAAGAATCAAGCAGCTTTAAAAATATAATTTGCTGAAGAGAAATGACAGGGAAAAAAAGATTGAACATATCGGGACTGTCAAAAGAACATTCCTCTTTGATATATTCTTTCGACTCCGACACATCAGCTAAGATTATGAACGACGGAGTGTCCTCCACTGCTTCAGTGGCGTGTCCCGCTGGTTATAAACGAGGAGGCGGAGAGAATGCGCTGCTTAGTTTCGGCTCGATATATTTAAATAAAAACTAACAACGAGCTGCTTATAACGCTCAAAAAGTTAAACTCAAATGCATAACCCTTGTTGGTTGCACCTGCGGGATGCACAATGAACCTAACGCGCCATAATTTTAATTCTATATTCGTGAAGAATGAGCCAACCGCATAAGCTTAGTCCTGTTGGTCGGGACTCTGCTTTATAACTTATTAGTTTATTACAATAATCACACTTAGCTTTGCCATTGTTCTTCACATATAGCCACTCAACACATCTTGCGGTCCATCTTTAATGTTTAGATTATTGAAGGTGCTATTGACGTTTTGAGAAAAAAATTAATAGTACTGAAACTAAATTATTAAAAATAAACTTGCGGGACTTCATTTATGTCCTGCGGCAACATTATTTTTATTACACTTTAAGTGATCTGCTTGAGGTAGGTCACGTTTATCAATGGTAAGTTTTAGCCTAAGTTTACATCAATAACATAATGTGCATTGTCCTTTACCATACAAAAAAAAAAAAAAAAAAAAAAAAAAAAACATTATTATACACCAGTTGCATGTAGCCTATAAAAAGGCCGCAAATATTTTTAAATGCATTAAAAGGCAAGCACATATCTTAGCCGTTTGTTCACACTCTGCCTGTATTAACATAAATGCTGTATTTTAATATAGCCAATTTTGATTAATTAGCTTTAACTGACAGCCTTTTTCTTCTTTTTCCGCCGTTATGCGGCATTATATTTCACACGCATATGCAAGGTGACTGAATATGAAAATAAAATACAAAACATACTGAGCCATTAAGTAAAAAAACAAAACAAAACAACAGTTATACTTTAAAGCAGAACATTGACGTTTTGAAACAAAAAAACGGAACTGAAACTAAATTATTAAAAATAAACCTGCCAGACTTAATTTATGTAATATTTTCATTATTCATTTATTTTCATTATTCGTTTATTATTATGTACTATAATTGAAACATAAAATGAGATCGTAAATATAATCAACAACGAAAATGTAAATAAAAACGTAAATTAAAAATATAAATGAACATGTCTAGTCTTAGTTCTATCAAAATAGCAAACACTACATCTCTCTATATTTAGACTAAAAGACTGCTTTATTTATTTATTTATTTATTTATTTATTTAAGACTAATTATTTGTACTGAATGTTTGTGCTTTCATTTTAGTTGTCTTTCATTTCTTCAATTCTATTTTCCAAAACGAATCCTCTTTGCACTTAATAAGTTTACAATAAACCAGGTAAAAAAAAAATTAAATGTAAGTTGAGGTGATCGCAAGTTCACAACTGTGAGGTGATGTGCTCTACCGGCAGGATAATCTATATTATTTTGCTGTTTTTCATATGCGCACGTTTAAGATTTGAGATAATAACATTGCCATGATAGTCAAAGAAATCAAAACATTATTTCACCCCAACGCAATTTAATCGGGCACTGAAGGCTAATAACTTAATTCTTATATTTGCTTTTTGACTTCTCACCATGTATCTTTTCTACAGCATAGTATAGTGTAAGAGCATGTCTATTACCAGAAAAACTAAATTAAAATTATATTTTAATTGAACACATCACATCACATACAGTAAGCTACGCCTACAGAACAGTCTGTTTAGCATTGTGAAAAGGCAAAGCTGAATATCTGTGGTTAAAGTGCCACCCAGCGGTCAAATGCTGCTGGCGCATCAAGTACCGTCGTCGCCGCGGCATGAATGGCGGTACAAGGAACACATTGAAGTAGTAACATCTGTATTATTCATGCGAACAGTAACAGACAAGCAGATACTTATAAAAGTAGATGTAAGCGTATGGATGTGAACACATTCACTGACGTGACTCGAATTTCCTGAATGAGCCTGCTTTATTTCGTGGTTTTGATCTCGGAATAATATACCTTGGAATGACATGACTGACCAATCAGAATTAAGCATTACAGACAGCTATATAATATCCATGGTTAACTTGCAGTTATACAATATAAACACAAAATATGAATGCAGAATGTACTGTAGTCTGATGTGTCTCCTGTGCTGAAAACAGGAGGTGGAGCTGAAGGTGTCTCTGGTCAAGTCTGATAAAGGAAGTTTAGGCTTCACCCTCACTAAAGGGACTGACGAGAACTGCTACATCCATGACATTATCCAGGACCCTGCTAAAGGAGATGGTCGGCTGCGTCCAGGAGACCGCATGATCATGGTATGAGCATACTGTACTGCCAGCTGCTGTGTGCATTTCATGATTTTAATACTCAAAATGAAACAAGTTAAACAAAGAGTTTGTTGTTATTTTGTTAATAAATTAATATACATTTCAAATAAAATAATGCAAATTAAATATTGACCCCACATCCTAATTGTTTTTTAAATGAAAAAAATATTGCTCAAATTAAAACAAGGTGAAAAATAAATCTCAAACACAATGAAATGTTCTCAATAAAATTAAGCTAAAGCTGTATCAAATATTGAAGATAAAATAATAATTTCAATACTAGATTCAGTGCTACATTTGAATGCAAAATTACCCAATAAAATCAATTCAGATTAAGTTAAATCAAAATAAAACTATTAACTAATTCAAAGATTATTCATATTTATATGGCTGAATTCTGTTTTAATACATTTTTAAAATATTTTTTATGTAATCGGAAATGTGAACTTTCAGCATTATTAGTATTGTCTTCAGAGTCATAATATGCTGCTTCAATAAGAATTTTAAAAAATTATAATGTTTTCATTTTTAAAATTTATTTAGATTTATTATCTACTTTTGGTTTATTTTGTATTATTATTAGGGACCGAGCACCGAAACGGTGCGTAGGCCCTATTGGAATTGCTCCGTTTCTTATTATTCTTCTTCTTCCGCGGAATGAATCACGGTTTTGAGGGGCTAAACATGCCCGAAAACTCACGCAACTTTGCACACGCCTCAGAAGTGGCGAAAATTTACGTTTGTTATGGGCTTCGGAAGTGGGCGTGGCAAAATGACTCGACAGCGCCACCTAGAAAAATTAAACGGACAAGCCCCCGATCCACGAATCACGCACATGCACGAAAATTGGCACACACCTCAAACATGCCAAAACATACGAAAAAGTCTCTTGGAGCCATATCTCAAACCCAACAGGAAGTCGGATATTTTTAACTTCCTGCGGCGAAAAAGTGGTGTTTTTGCCATTTCCAGGCGTTGTATTTTAACGAACTCCTCCTAGGGATTTTATCCGATCGACACCAAAATTGGGTTTTGTCATCTAAAGGCCTTGGCAATGTTAAATTGCGAAGCTTTAGAGTTTTCATCGATGGGCGTGTCCGTGGCGGCCTCGCAAACTTTGACGATTCGCCACAAAAGAGGAAGTCGTTATAACTCAGGCATGCATTATCCGATCTGCCTCAAAATTCACACGCTTGATAAGAGTCCTGACCTGAACACGTTTACATGCCAATATCCAGATATAGTTATAGCGCCACCTGCTGGCCACAGGAAATGACATGATTTACGGAGTTACAAACTCCTCCCACAAATTTTATCGTATCAACACCAAAAATGAGTGGTGTTATCTGAAAGCTCTAGCGATGATATATTGTGAAGATCTAGAGTTTTCGCAGAGGGGTGTGTCCGTGGCGGTATGACAAACCTCAACGCTTCGCCATGGAACAGGAAGTCCTTATAACACAACCACACAATGTCCGATCAGCCTGAAACTTCACATGGTTGATAAACGTCATCTCTTGAACACATCCATATAACAATATTGAAGTGGGCGTGGCAAAATGACTCGACAGCGCCACCTAGAAAAATTAAACGGACGAGCCCCCGATCTACGAATCACGCACATGCACAAAAATTGGCACACACCTCAAACATGGCAAAATATACGAAAAAGTCTCTTGGAGCCATATCTCAAACCCAACAGGAAGTCGGACATTTTTAACTTCCTGTGGCGAAAAAGTGGCGCTTTTGCCATTTCCAGGCGTTGTATTTTAACGAACTCCTCCTAGGGATTTTATCTGATAAACACCAAAATTGGGTTTTGTCATCTTAAAGCCTTGGTGATGTTAAATTGCGAAGCTTTAGAGTTTTCATCGATGGGCGTGTCCGTGGCGGCCTCGCAAACTTTGATGATTCGCCACAAAACAGGAAGTCTTTATAACTCTGGCATGCAATATTCGATCTGCCTCAAAATTCACACATTTAATAACAGTCCTGACCTGATCAGGTTTACGTGCTGATATCCAGTTACAGTTATAGCGCCACCTGCTGGCCACAGGAAATGACATGTTTGACACTGTAACAAACTCCTCCCACAAACTTTCCCGTATCAGCACCAAAATAGAGTGGTGTCATCTGAAAGCTCTAGCGATGATATATTGTGAAGATCTAGAGTTTTTGCAGAGGGGCGTGTCTGTGGTGGCATGACAAACCTCAACGCTTCGCCATGGAACAGGAATTTCTTATAACTCAACCACACAATGTCTGATCTGCCTGAAACTTCACATGATTGATAAAAGTCCTCTCCTGAACACATCTACATAACAATACTGAGTCAGTCATAGCGCCACCTGCTGGCAGAATGTAGTTTGTCTTAAAACACAATCTCCACACAATCTCTGATCTGCCTGAAACTTCACATGGTTGATAAAAGTCCGCTCCTGAACACATCCACATAACAATATTGAGTCAGTCATAACGCCACCTGCTGGCAGAAGGTAGTTTGGCTTATAAGTCAGCCACACAATGTCCCATGTGCCTGAAACTTTACATGGTTGATAAGATTCCTCTCCGGAAGACATCTACATGCCAATCTTAAGTCACAGTTATAGCGCCACCTGCTGACAGGAGGAAGTTTGGCATAAATCTGTGATTTTCTTAGATTTTTTTTTATATATCGACTTAAATTATTATTGTTCGCTGTTCTCTGTCATCGTAAGGTCACCGGGCGGTGAGCCCGGGTGCAAGGTCCCTTTCATCGCTGCTTGCAGCTTTAATTAGGGACCGAGCACCGAACGGTGCAAGGCCCTATTGGAATTGCTCCGTTTATTAGGGGCCAAGCACCGTAGGTGCGTAGGCACCTATTGCTTTCGTTAGTGTTCTTATTATTATTATTATTATTATTATTCTTCTTCTTCTTCTTCCGTTTCTTCCGCCGGATTTGAATGGCAGCCCATATAGGCGTATGCGGGAAAGTTGTATAATTTGGCACAATGATAGAGGCCAGTATTAACATTAATCAGGCCAATTATGAAGTCTCAAAATCAAACTCTCTAGCGCCACCACTTGTCTAAACTTTCACGTATGTTTATCATCATAACTTTTGAACCGAATGGGCTACAATCAAAATTCTTTTTTCCTCTGACTCCTTGGCTCAGTTCGATTCAAACGCACCATATGACGTCATTTTCCGTCATGAATTTTTTCGCGCTATTTTAAATTTTTCGAAAAACCTATTTGATCGAACTCGTCCTACGCCGTGTCTCCGATTTTCACCAAAATGTAATCACATGATCTACAGACCATGCCAACCAAAAGTTATGGAATTCAAGTTGATTAAACCAACCGTTTTTGTTTAACTTGCGAACTAATTTAACGTAGAACTTGCGAAAATGGACTTGAGGCGATATCTCTGTAACGCTTTCACCGATTCACACCAAACTTGGTGTGTGTAATGACAACTAGGGTCTAAGGTTAATTGCGGAGTTTCAGCGCACTGCCCTCTAGTGGTCCGGAGATACAAAAAACTTGCTTTTTGGCTTATAACGTCTCAACCTTTCGTCCGAAACTCTTAAAATTGGTCTCATTACATCCGGCAGAGCATGCCGAGTTGAATGATGTCTGATTTTTACAGGTCAGCCAGTTTGGGCGTCGCCCATTTCGATTTTTGGCAAAAAATGCTATATTTTACCAACACATTCACATATCATTACAAAACATGGTATGCATCTTCAACCCCATGCCCTGAAAGTACTCAAAAACGTCTGGAGCAGCGCCACCTTATGGCCAATAGTGCTTGGCCCCTTAATTGCTGCTTGCAGCTATATTTATTATTATTCTTCTTCATCTTCTTCCGTTTCTTCCGCCAGATTTGAATGGCAGCCCATATAGGCGTATGCGGGAAAGTTGTATAATTTGGCACAATGATAGAGGCCAGTATTAACATTAATCAGGCCAATTATGAAGTCTCAAAATCAAACTCTCTAGCGCCACCACTTGTCCAAACTTTCACATATGTTTATCATCATAACTTTTGAACCGAATGGGCTACAATCAAAATTCTTTTTTCCTCTGATTCCTTGGCTCAGTCCGATTCAAACCCACCCTATGACGTCATTTTCCGTCATGAATTTTTTCACGCTATTTTAAATTTTTCGAAAAACCTATTTGATCGAACTCGTCCTAGGCCGTGTCTCCGATTTTCACCAAAATTGAATCACATGATCTACAGACCATGCCAACCAAAAGTTATGGAATTCAAGTTGATTAGACCAACCGTTTTCTTTTAACTTGCAAACTAATTTAACAAAGAACTTGCGAAAATGGACTTGAGGCGATATCTCTGTAACGCATTCACCGATTCACACCAAACTTGGTGAGTGTTATGACAACTAGGGTCTAAGGTTAATTGCGGAGTTTCGGCGCACTGCCCCCTAGTGGTCCGGAGATACTAAAAACTTGCTTTTTGGCTTATAACGTCTGAACCTTTCGTCCGAAACTCATGAAACTGGTCTCGTTACATCCGGCAGAGCATGCCGAGTCGAATGATGTCTAATTTTCACAGGTCAGCCATTTTGGGCGTCGCCCATTTCGATTTTTGGCCAAAAATGCTATATTTTACCAACACATTCACATATCATTACAAAACATGGTATGCATCTTCAACCCCATGCCCTGAAAGTACTCAAAAACGTCTGGAGCAGCGCCACCTTATGGCCAATAGTGCTTGGCCCCTTAATTGCTGCTTGCAGCTATATTTATTATTATTATTATTATTCTTTTCCGGAATGAATCGCGATTTTAAGGGGCTAAACATGCCCGAAAACTCACGAAACTTTGCACACGCCTCAGAAGTGGCGAAAATTTACGTTTATTATGGGTCTCGGAAGTGGGCGTGGCAAAATGACTCGACAGCGCCACCTAGAAAACTTAAACGGACGAGCCCCCGATCCACGAATCACGCACATGCACGAAAATTGGCACACACCTCA